CCAAAAGCCAGAAATTTAGCCCAATTACTTCCTTATTTCCCTACTGTCTACGCTCTTTCAGATGTCATTGGATGACAACGTAATGTCCAAAAAGTGAGAATGTGGAGGTCCCACTTTGTCTCCCTTTGAATGATTCAGCACCAGAATTAGATTTTGGACGATTTCTTCTGCTCCCCCACCTCTTGGATTAAATTTGATTTGTAAGGCAGGCCATTCCGAATCGCGTCGGTTTTAATTAATACTTTCTGAGGGTTGAAATGGTAGAGGGCAAAGTGAGGGGTTCTGGATCGAGAGACTGGCGTGTACCTATGCTTTATACTACGTGCACATCAACAGTCGTCTACACGTTCCAGGCAGTCATAGCAATGAGTTACACGAATCTTTTATGCCACCTGATGGTGGGGATATTTAGTAGCTGTTTCACGGAGGCGTCAAGCATTAAATTAATCAACTGTTATCAGTTTGGGTAAGATGAGAGGTTTAACAATCTGGTAGAGTAGTGAAAACTGTGTCTAGGCGGCCTTATTTTGGAAGTAAATATTTTTTCCCAAGATTTGGGACCTACTATTGCCCCCTGTTTGTTATTTCAAGAGGGGTCATCCACTTTTCCCAACTGTATAAGCACTCTCCTTATCTGGGAGAGTACAACGGTCCTGTAATTCCTTGCTTCATATTTAGCAAACGCTGAATGGTAAATCTTTTTTTGGCTCTGTGGATCCACTACTTATTATGCATGATGATCGTGCGCTCGCAAAATATGCAAATGGACCTTTTGATGTGTTAATCACCTGCTTCTAAGCAAGTGCCTTCTTAGATGTGCCATTACCGTGAATCACGGTCGCATATTAACTTGATGGAAGGTGGAAGGTGTGAGTGGTAGTAATAGGAATTCCCTTCCTACTGACACTTCGTCTTCCTGACACTTATCTACCGTCTGTTGAAAGACTGTTCCAGAGGAAAATGGACCGCTGCAACGCCTTGGATTGTTTGCTACTCTTGTCTGGTGAACTATTTGTCATAATTCCTTTCCTGTCCAATTTTATTACCGTTTGAGGACTAATGGGATGTGATTTTACTCTCTTCGGATCAAATGCATCACTACTATCCCTATTCCATTGATATGAACCTAACCACTACCTTTTTCATCCTACGGCTTGGTGTCATCACAAGTTTCACAGATTGCTAGAGGATGTGTACCACCCATACGTGCAAATCCTAGCAGCGATGTGTTAACAAGCTTTGAAAGGCATTTTTTTGTGTGCATGGATGGGTGAATTCATCGCCTAATATCAAAACCTTTTTAAGAGACATTTTTGCGAGTGAAATGCAATGTCGCCTGTTCCATACATAGCAATGAAGCGCTCCCACCAATAGTTACGATAGCATCTGTGCTACGGTTGATTTATGGACTGCAGTTTAATTCCACCAAAACTTAATCCAATGCTCATCTATAGAGCCCACGAGTGTGGAGGAAGTCGAACTAATAGCATAAGAAGGGCCTAGGCGTAGTTCAACACCGCCTATGCAAGCCCCACCGAATTGGGATGGCAGTGGGCACTGTAATAGCCGTACAGGTATACATGCCTTGCTTCGCTTAGAACACTTTTGGCGCTGTTAGTGAAGAAACCGTCACCACAACATCCGGGTGACTTGAAATTGACCACTTTCCCTGCGTAGATCCATTTAAAGGATGGATGGTGTTCTCCATGGAAGCGCCTCCATCACCCCAATAGCTTTTTGGAGAGACAGCTCTTTTAGTAAATGCGGTACCCCGTATTCCTGTCCCTACTCCAACTCTACCGCCACCCTAATGGTGCCTTGCCACGTATCTGAGAGGTTTCTAGCTTCTTGCAACATTTGAGAGTGACGTCTCTCACATTTACTGGTCAAATTGGTTTCAAACTCGCCCTGGCACATTTTCGGCCATCGTGCTAAACTTGAGATCGGGGTAGCTATCGAATACCAGGATACCCTCGAGAGCTCGCGCTGTAAATGTGCACAGGCCTACCTACCTAGCATTAGTAGCCAGTCACTGAAATCATGAATAATGCCGTTCTCGAAGTTGCTTCACCAAAGCTTCTGTCAAGGTGGTAAGAGGTCCGAGAAAGCAGAAGCCTGATTGGGACTATCAGGCCTCTACTCCACAGGCGGGGCGACTGCAAAGGATGAAAACCTGCTGAGGAACGGGTTTTCTCGACTGTTTGTCATGGGCAAAGCTTCTTAGTCGGGGTAGATCCATTTACATTCAGAGATGAACGCCTTCCTGGTTTGGATTATTACCTCTCTTTCCTCACTGGTTACGCCAGAGAATTTGAGAATAGTCGTATGGATGCACCCTCTTTGTGTAAAAGATACTCTCTCTCTCCCTCTCTCGGTGTCCATTAATCCTTCCTTATTCCAACATAAAATCTGCTCTCCTTTGTTTAGCATCAATTTCTTCCTTTCAATAGTTAGCGATACGAAGGGCCCAGAAGCGTCAAAAGACGCGCATCAGCTGTCGGCTTTTGCTCTTCTCTGGGGCAGTGCTTTCATTTCCAGCGACTCGTCGGATATCTGTGGCGGCAGGAATCAGTCCAAGGCAGCACTCCAACTCACTGACGTATATCCACTGGTGTGCTGGGTTCTGCGCATACCTAATCCATGGCTCCACTGGGGTCGCTTGGCACGAGTTACCCACCTCCTTCGCCAACCGCCCTTCCCCTCCCAGGTGGAGGAGTTTGAGAAGCGGTCAAGAGCATGGAGCACTTTGGCAGTTGGTGTCGGGGGTAGATTTGGAGTCTCGAAGGGAACTTTTCTTGCTGGTGAGTGGATACAGAAGTGGCACTTTAATAAGAGATGCTGTGGAGGTACTACGCGCATTGGCGAATGGCTTGCCTTGGTACTCTTGGCCAATCTAAGCACCATTTGTCGAGGTGGCAGTCAATAGGGGTAATGAGATCTAAAGGTTAAGACAACTTTAACTTCCTTTAACCCAGGTGGCCTCATATGCGCCTTCGTGGTGGTTTTCGGCATCCTTTTTGTGGTTTGCGCAATCAAGGTGAATCGACGCTACCGACGCATGCCCAGTGCCGGCGACAGTTTCGGTGGGGCACGCTACCACAGACGTCGTGTTCCTCGCGTCTGGCCTGCCTCCTCTGCCTACACCTATGCCACGCGCGACCAACGGCTCCTTAGCGGTGCTAATGGAGGTCAGGACACCGAGACGACGGAGGAGGAGGAGGTGTTGATAAATAACGACGTCCTCACTCGAAGCTGTCGTCTTGGTGACGCTGAGGCCTTCATTCAAATGCTTCACAGTCCCTCCGCGAGTCCTATACCGCGGACGATGCCGGCACTGAGTAGAGCATAATTTGGTCACAGATGGTGTTGACTTGTGCTTTCCTTTGTCTTGCATTCTTTCTTTTCTTTCACTTCTTTCTCATTCCCTCCTCTTGTGTGCTTTTTGCTATCGCTGTGATATGCCTTTTGTGGTTATTTTCTGACTTATTGGATGCTTTTGAGGCTTTGACAAGTTGTCAAACATCGTGTCTACTGTCTGTGGAGGTGCTTGCGTGTAGGCGATTTTCTAGGCCTTTGGTTTGGGGTGATACTCTTCAGACGGTCGTCTATTGGCCAGTCGGACTCACCTTGCCAGGCGCTCTGTTCTACACTTCGAATTACTAGTAGTTTGAAGAAAGCTGCTCTGAAGTACAGTCCATTTAAGAGGCGGTGCCTATAGGTCGTAACTTATGTCAAGAATGTTGACAATGAGGGTAAGGAGTAGGGATGGTTGACGTGAAGCATCAGAACGGTGAAGAGTTCGGAATAGAGCAGCCTAGTTTGACACACTGTTGCGGTCTTCCAGAATCTTCTCAGCAGTTTCAGTGGTTTTGACTGTTGCGTGAATGTGTGCATGATTGACATGAGCAGGACTGAGAGGCCTCGGCGTCCCGCCTAGGGGAGTGAGGTCTATGGAGGTCGGATAGCTCAGGTGGTTGAACTCTCAATTAAGCAGTTAATAGTACGCACTTTAAAATCATCAGGCAATACTGAATGGGTCTCACCAGAATTTCGTTACATATCTTCAGAAGCTAGAATCATCTGTCAACAGGGAATTCAGCACTAAAGTAGGCGGTCATCTCACATCCGCATGGGTTGGCCGATCTGCAGGCCGCTGAATACTTTGTCAGTAGTTTGACAGCAAAATGATACGCTTCATTCATGATCCTTAAAAACACTGAACTTCTTACCGTCTAGGCCTTTTAAGGGTTACATAGCAAATTTTAAGTGGTTGAAAGAACTGCCAACAGATAATTTGTTACTATAGTGAGTTGTTATCCCATATTGTCCTCAGTGGCTGCCCTCCTCCATGCCACTGAATTCTTTGTCAGTAGTTCGACGACGAGATGGAATATTTCATTAATAATCCCTCAAATACTGCAAAGTAGTGGGAGCTTTTTTACTACCCAGTAATAACGAAGAGTCACAGGGTAGGGACTGTGGCAGTGGCATTCCCACAAAAGGTGTGCCTAACGCATGCATCAGACGCATTCTCAACCACCGTCACGAAAGTGAGACATGCCAAGTGGAATCATGGATGAATTAAAAAAAACAGTTGAGAACCACTATTCCCCTTAATTCTATATTGATTCTACAATTCTGCTAACGAGTTTTACGTACATTTTTTAGTTGGGACATTCTTTTTACACACTAATGCTAATTTACATTTGGAGCCGTCTACCCGAAAGACATCAGTTGTATATCATCACCAACTTCAAATAAAATACTAGGAGCCAAAACTAACTATCTTTTCTAAGTAAAAGATTTTCATGCAATTATCCACTTTACGACGTTTGCAAGGCATGCTAGATCATTTGAAAATCTGGAGGGGTGGATCACATGATAAGTGGGGGAAGGGGCATCATTGATTAGGCATTCAAACTTCGGAACCCGGAAGTCAAGTCCACAGACGGTGGTCTTCCCCTCTCCCAATTCGCTTACCTCAACAATTCGAATCAAGAATGAACATGCCACAGTCCTCGAGTACCAACCAATGTAACGGGCAGCCGTGCTGCGGTCAGTCGCGGTGTCCCACCTCCTTCTGCTCGCCCCAAGTCACAACCGGGTGCACGCCTCCTCGAAATGTTACTGGAATACTGATGCCAACAATCGCAGGAGGCAGGCATATGTGTCTAAAACCTAGCCTCTCCTGCGGTGTCTACGGTAATCCTCAACCCTGCCAGTCGGAGAAACTGGAGGAGTGCCAGGTAGAGGAGAAGAAACCGGCAAAAAAGGAGTCCCCACCTCCACCCCCACCGGTAAAAGACCCATGTGCACCTGCAAAGCGTCTGGATCCCTGTCCCCCCAAGTATCCTGGGCTGGAAAAATGTGGGGCCAATCGACCTCCACAGACGCAGCAGAAGGCTTCACCCTCCAGGAAGGAGTGTCCTCCACCCAAGCCTGCCGCAGCCTCAAGAGAAAGGTGTCCCCCTGCTCAGCCTATGCAACCGGTAGCCAGAGACAATTGCGCACCCCAGAAGAGTACTGCGAGTTACAACTGTTCTCCTCAACGCAATGCTGCAAAAGGAGGAAAACGAAACGTCGGTGCACTAAGAGAATGCGCCACACCCGAACGCGCATCCCCGACTCGTTCATCGATTGCGGAATCCCCTATTAGCCCAATGAACCGCGTCTGTTCCCCTCCCAACTATCAGGTTTGTGCCCCACCACAAGCCGAAGATCCGAGGGTGAATAAGACCTGCCCCCCCACCACTTACGTGCCCCAAATGGACTACTGTGCTGACAACACGAGGGATAATCGGCAGAGTCCAATGAATTCGGAGTGTATGATCGCTACACCGCCACCTCCGGATATGCGGTGTATCACGGAGGAAGTGAATAGGAGGATAATGCAGTTGGGAAAGGAGTGTTCGGCAAACTCGGGAATGCCAAAAACCCCTGTGAATAAGCCACAACACGCCTGCGAAGCGTATGCGTCGGGAGCTGCTGCGTGTTCGGAGCCTCAGCCTGCACCTCGAATGTGCCAGCAGATGGCGGAGAGACAGACGCCAACCAACAACCAATGCCAATCGCAACCACCAGCCAACTGTGCCCCGCAGCGACCACAGCCGCCGAACCAGTGGGGGATGGACAATTGTTCACCCCAACGAACACCCAATCGGAGTCCCCCATCAAGAACTAACAATAACATACAGCACGAGGACGATAACGGCGTGATGGATAACTCGTACTGCCAGAATTAGGGAGCGTCGCTTAGCATCGCGCATTCTCAATGATGGCTATTATTTATGGTTTAATCAACTCGGTTGTGAAGTTAAGCCAAAAATAGGAGCTAATTCATTTAAAAGGAAATATCTCCATCATCTTAAAATTTTGTGTTGAGTGCCTATTTAATGAATACATATTATTTCTTACCCTTTATAGTCCGCCTCTTGTGTTGGGAAAGACCACTAGTAATCCTTGTGATGGGGCACAACCGCCTACTTATAGTTAATAAGTAGGATGGACCAAGAGCCAATAGTGGGAATCAGTGTGCGGTTGGTAATAAAGGTTGAGATCCTAGCCTCACGTTCTAGTTCGTTTTAAAATATCGGACATAATTTCTACTAATAAAAATGCATGTTTTGCTGAGGGATGGCCCGGGGGACCACAGTTGATGAGTAGCACGTGTCCGCACATCCTCCCATAATCGCGTTACTAGAGGGCCAGAAATAACCGGAATCCCAATCGATCAACTTCTAGCCATTGCTTCTCCATGACCCATAAACAGTCGCCTCACTTTAGATCGTAAGACTGTTGAATCACAGTCACACAGTGATCCCATGAGACCAACAAATCCCACCAGTGGAAAAAGACGCACAGCACATCGACATCTGGGTACCTTCCCTCGCAACTCAAGGACCCGTCAATCCGGGAAAGTAGAAGCGACACACCACCACCATGGAGAGGTGGGACAGGGCATCCAAGGAACCCATTGGAGAGGGGAGAGATATAAGAACACCAAATGGCTGCACAACGCACCAAGCCTAAGAACTGAGTTGAGGACCGATAAAATAAGCCTCTCTCCTGCGCATCCCTCCCGAATGGGCAAGTAGGAATTCCTAGAGCACACGCACACATTCCAAACATTTCTTCAGAAAAGGCAGTGACAGCATTCCAGTGCGCAATACATATTTCAAATCATGGTTTTCAACAATTTGTTGATGTAGTTTTCCCGGTTACCAAAATCACCACCCTCAACAAAGTGTTTACCCTTCTTGCGGAAGCCACCCGTCGGATTGTTCAGCTTGAAACGCCAAAGGAAGGAAGAGGCCGTTTTGAAGTTGGGACCGACCGTGTAAATCTCGTGCACCAGGTCCTCCACACACAGAATTCCGAAACGGCCGAGCCTATGTTGGATGCGCTCGTTGGTAAGTGGCAGCCTCTGGCCACGAACTTTACAGAAACCGCGCTTATAAATGAGCCGTCGGACGGTTCTTAGAGAAGGATAACCCCAGGCGATGTAGGGGTCGATCAAGCGGAGCATGTTCAGCGTAGCCTAAACGATAGATGCACAAAGCACTCATACCTTGTTTAGGCGAACGAAAACACCATTGTTGATCTGCAAAAGGCGCATCAACTGAAGAGTCTTTCTAGGTTTGGGGTGAATCCCATTGATACCCCGAATCCTCACGACGAATGCAAGCTTGGGCTCGGCGGGAACATAGAAGTTTCCAGCCTTCTGGGCACTACGCATAAGATTAATCTCACGCTTGGCAGCACGTCTGTACTCCTAGAAACAATACAAAAAACGAAACAGAAAGCTTACAATCAAGTGCTTCTGAGCGTGTTTGATGTAAATTTTCTTCAGACGAAGATACTTAAGACGTTTGATAACTTTTTTCTTGGCCTCAGATCTTATTCTGCGAGCGCGAATCATCTGCTTGTATTTAAGTTTCTCGGGCTTTTTTGGAACTTTCTTTTCACCAGCAGAAGACTTTTTCCCCTTTTCTTCTTCACCCAGCTTTCCAATATCAGTTTTAGCAGATCCCTCAATCTCAACTGTAACTGACAGTGTGGTCTTAGCAGCACCGAGTTCTTCAACCTTAGCTGCAGGAGACTTCTCAGCCTTAGGGTGAGTAGGCTTTTTAAGCTTCGAAATACACTTGGAAGAAACAGGCTTCGTAGCGGCAACAGGGGGGCCACTCTCTGCCGCCTCAGTCTTAAGGGCATCTTCTGCTTTTCTTGTTTCACTAAATTTCGAAAAAAATCACGTAATCCATTTAACAATTAAGCTTAGCCATGGACACCATCACTCACCTCATTCTGCAACCAAACGTGTCCCTTCAAAACATACACATGCAAGAAAAGGGTCGGTTGAAACAATGCACTGCGTAATCAAATATAGGCAGTCACTTTGAGGCTTTTAAATAGATAATTAGTTCCTTTATACAAATGTTTTGTTGCTTTTTTCAATAGCGAAGCCTTTTAATTATTTTTAGGTCAGAAAGAAAAGGCTAAGGCAATTTTTTAAAATAAAACTCACATTAAAAAGCAAGCATTTTATTTGCAAAATCTTTTACGTTAAAGGAGTTTCAAGTGCATTTTTAACCTTTAGCAATAAAATTTGCAATTTATAGGGACCCTAAAAACAAATATACGAAATTTGATATTATTATTTATTTTATAGTGCTTGATCTTTTATTTGAGATAGAGTTTGTAGATAATCAACAAGCAGTGCTTTTGAAACGATGACACGGTGCCTAGGCAGGATTTACATAGTCAGCATACAGTTGTGTAGGGCGAGACTCATCGGTCTCCACTTCCATGTTCCTAGCGTTCTTAGACGAGCCCGGTTGATTCATTTTGGACATATTTACTGAAGAGGAAAAGATGAAGAGGGAAAGTACAACGTTTAAGAAGGGGGAAAATTGCAGTCACTAGGTACGGGGGAGGACGATCCGGTCACGAGATTCGTATTTCCTGATTGCCTCCTCCCTGGAAGGTGCATTAAAACAACATAAGTATTTCAGTTGGATCCAGTTAATCAGTTTTCTTCAAGGGTCAGCCCACCCGGCGAAGATTTAGTGCCTAAGACACAAAGTGTTTCTTTACTACAACCTAAAACCATGCAAATGACACATATCACACAGCTCTTTTCTCTTCTTAGCGTCATTTCCGGCTCTTCTTGTGGCCAACCTCCTGTCAGCCAACAAAACTTAATGGGTTTTAAAAGAATATTTTCACGAGCCAACCATGCCAGTAGTCGAATTTTCGTGCACCTAAGGAGACACTTGTTCGCAACACCGCTGATAACCCTCACCAATTCTACTAAACCAGTGGTTTCGTTCAGTATGTGAATTAGATTAGGGGGTGAGGAATTGTGCTGTCCATCACACATGTCCATAGATAGACATGGCCACACTGGCCTAAAAGCAGATTTATATAGGGAAGGATGAGATGGGACATTTTCATGAAGGAAGGGTTTTGCCTCTGCATCTCCTTGTCACTTTGTTCAAGCGTTAGAGCTACCCAGTTATATCCAATTGGATAGTAGAGAAGTGGAGGAGGCATCCCTCATTTTTATTGTCGATATCTTTATGCACATATGTTAGGCAACTCATAGCAAGACTTTTTGAACTAGTTTGCCACCAACATTTCATCAGATGTTAATCGCTTTCCTGAAGAAAAAGGGACTAAGGCAGTTGCCGAGGGTAGACGCCGTTTTTAGCTCCTTTATTTGAAGTCATTGCTGACTCTCCCACCTATAGCATATGTACTTTTTCCGCCCCACTGTGGTTGATCATATAACAGCATAGATCCAGATACGTCCTTTAAAATGGGGTTCGTTTACTGCTACCACCGATGTAGCTCCTCAAGACTTCACCGAAGGTGAAAGAAGACATAATACTCAGACAGAATATGCGTATTTGACATGGAGTTGGGTTTGGAGCTACTGGCATACCCCTGGAACAGCTAACTCGGTGGGGGTACAATAGCCATGACAGAAAGTGGCGCTTTACCAAAACTGAGGTCCAAATAACCAAAGCATTACACAACCGTAATGGCCCGGAGGCCTTCCCATCCGGTGAAGGCACCACTGCGGAGTACCTAAGTGACCCCACAACTAAAACTAAGAGTTAAGCAAAATGCCAAAGCGTTGTAACTTTAAGGTTAAATTAAGCATAGCTGACCCGTTTTAGCACACTGCTTATGCGTTTCAAGTCAAGACAATGAAAGTTGAGAAGAGGCAGTAATTTTCCGCCAGTTTATTGGCATGCATGTTTATTAGTATTGTGAAAGCCTCTACAGACAACATTGTAGCTTGTAGTAGTTCCTCAAAGCACGTTTTTATCATTCTTTTACCATTTAAAATGCATCTTTTAAATGGCCATTTAAGTGATCTTCTAATTATAAGTAGCAACCATACTTTCACACTTGGCAGACAACTCAGACAGCTGACACGCGAATTCGCGCAAATCGATGTGGATTTTGAATTTCATCTGTGCCAGACCTTGGTCACATTGTCGCCATATTTCGCTTTTTACTTCCCATCAACAGAATGGAGTTTTTGGGTCACTTTGGCGGTAGCTGCTATATGCCCGCCTCACGTCACCAACAAATCACTGCCAGACTGCCCACTTTGGCCACCCTGCCCCCTCTAAATCCCACGCTACCAGACGCTTGTCCGCGACCTTATCCTCACCGCCGGTCACTAGCGGCGCTCGCCTATCGTCCCGCTAACTACTACAGTGCAGCAAAAGTCTCCCCAACCTATCCTCTTACTGCTTCCCAAGTAGATTCTACGAATGCAGACACTCAGCTCAACGAGGTTTGTGGCATTCGGGTCCCCTCGCTCTATTCAGCAGCTCGTACAGCTCTCTACACTCGCTACACTCCGAGGAACTGGTTCGACAGCTATAACCGCCTTTTGCAAGCAAATGACCTAGCACAAAAGAACTCGGATTGCCTAGCTCACGACTCGAAGAGGTTGGAGGAGGAACTGGCGGACAGAGCTAAGACCAATCAAAATGTATCAACACGGAGGTTGGGCGATCGGATCTGTGATACGGCCTTTTGGCAGAGTGAAGTGGACTCCGAAATAGCAAAGATGAAACAGGAGATTGACGATCAAATTCGCGCCCGTCGAGTGACAGAGAAGCTATTGGCAGAGACGGAGAATCATCTGCATGTGACACAGGAGTGCTTGTACAATAGAGAGAAGAGGCAGTGCACAGATTTGGTTCATGATGACGTGGAAAAGAGACTCATTGAGGTAAGTGAGACAATTTTCCATAAACTGTTTAGGTTAGTAGGGTCTAAAAAGGATTAGTTGAAAAAATAAAATCTTATCCCCTGATGCATCTCTCATTAAACCACAAGAACTAGAACAAACCCCTTCAATTTTTCAAAGGCATTTAAATGTGCCCAGACTTGTCATCGAGGCAAATATATTGTTTTTATTATTGACTCCCACGCTCAACAAAACCAACAAATTTAGCGTCAGGCTTTTAATTTTTTAAAACTACTTTAATCAGCAGTTCTGAAAAAAAAAACCAGTTGGATCCATGGCATCCCACTTGATTTGCATTTTAATGAGCTCATATTCGCAGCAGTTCTTGGACAGGGGTTGGTGGGAGTGGCCTTGATACAAGGCAAAGACATTATGAGTTGCGAAATACACATTTTTAGGAAGTCAACACGGTTAGGTGTATCCAGGATGAACTTCGAAGTCTTATTGACGACGCAAAAACCCAGGAACAGTACGTCGGGGAAGTGTTTTTTAATGTCACTCTAAAAATAAGGTGTTTTTTTTTCAAAATACAACAGACCCCCGTATTCCTCACAACAAAGTTTTTTTTATACGCTCAGTTCCTTTACAATTGTTTCCAGTCGTGGTTTTCGTTAATTCTCCCAATCAAATGACATCCACACCGTTAAATAAGTTGTATGGGTCCCTAAGAATTTCCTCCTCTTTACGCAGACTGAACAGGGCTGCGTTGCACGACTTAGAGGTGGACAAAGCTAGGAAATTTAGGGCCATTCAGTTGGACGAGAGCGCCCATTCAATGCACAACAGTTCGGCTCATATCAGCTACTACGAGGGTGTGGAGTGCATCGACCAAACGTAAGTTCTACTTAATATTCTGCGATCGGAGCTGTCATATTTGCCAATTTTTGGAAGCATTAAATCGGCATTTGAATGGCACAAGTACCCGTCTTGGTGGAACCACTTCATGTCTTTCTCTCGATGAAGCCTGCCTGCGCAGTGTAATAGACTGGGTAACTAGCTCAGGTACTTTTTGTCAGCCAGTGTGTTAAGCAGTAGTGAAGTAGTTGCACACCATAACTGGTAGAATTCCCCACCAATTTTAATGTCTATGTTTTCTAGGAGCATTTACGCATCCCGGTTTCGCTCATTCTTCTGATCAACTACTTGTTCGCTTATGCCAAAAGTCAGTCCTGTTAAGTTAGAATAACACCATAGTAGTACCTCTTTATGCTCAATGACTGTGCTTAAGAGACCTTACAGTCACGTTAGCCGCTTATCATTGGACGCTCTATCGATTTTAATCGTAATAGAGGGCAAATAGGCAAGAAGTTCATCTTAGGTGGTGTTGTGGTGTAAAATGGAAGTTGCGCCTTTTCAACTCGGCAAAACAACTGTCTTGCCACAGTCATTAAAATTCGGGATTTAATTCCGGCACTTCTACAATAACCACTCCAGCCAATCAGTGCCGGAGACATGGAACAAGCAAGTGTCTGATCTCATACAGCGCAGCCAGTCAGAACGTGCAGCAAGTCGAATGCTGCGTGAACGCATCGCAAAGGGGATCGCACACGCCAGCAAGACCCTATCGGACATCTGGGAGGTTGTTAACGCTGCATTTGCTCAACGTATCCGAGAATTCACTGATGCTCGTAATCAGCTGCAGGCTTCGCTTGGGAAGGTAAACTGGATTGCCTTTCAGCCAGTCTGAACAAGCTAATTTCATAGCTTCACGGCTGATGGTTTGCGATGAAAGAGAAGCCAATTTGAAGCAGTTTCTACTTAAAAGCTAAATTTTTGTGCCCATTTAAACAACTTAAATTACAAATTGGAAATAATGGAGGGAAAATTGTTCTTGGGCTAAAAGTAAGCGACTCATCGAAATACCATTGAGTATGTCTGTTGTATACTCTGGCCACAATTCCAGACACTGCAAGCAATCTTTGACACGGAAAAGGAGATTGAGGACCTGAAGAAGGCCATCAAGGATAAAGAGGAGTACCTTAAGACGGCGACGTCTCGTCTGAACACGCGTCTACTGAGACCCGGGGTGGAGAATTGTCGTGATCCGGCGATGGTACAGTGAGTTGGTAGCAGTTCATCTTCTGTTGACTTCCAAAAGCCACCCTTAAGGTAACGTCCCGCCCAGACTCACCCGGAAAAGATGTCTAAGAATAACCGGTACTCCAAGTTTAGAGGTTTTGGGGGCACGATTATGACAACGAACCGCTAACATGATGCAACGCTCCAGTTAGCCCGAAAGATGTCAAAATGAGTTGCGGGACCGAATATAGCTTGATAATAGGCGTTCGGATTGATTGAGGGACTAGTAGCACAGGTGACATTAAGGGACAAAAGTACACCTCGTATAGTAGGTGGTAGAAAGATAGGTATATAAGTGGGTGGATGGGTGAATTTATCCATCCATAGATGAACATTGAGAATGTATCCCCTTTTTGTGCTACTACTATGCAGAGTTCGAGGTATGACCATGAAATTTTGGCGTCTGTCTACACAGGATACAAGTAAGGAACGCTTATCCTCTTCTTCCCTCATTCCAGTCTAATTTGTGAGGTGAAGCAGCTAAAGGCGGCCATCGAAGAGCTGACAAAACAGTTGCGACGAGCTGAGGGTGTGCTTCAGGAGCTTCTGCATTTGAGGACTGCAAAGGAGGGCGAACTGGCCTGCAAGAACAACAGCCTCTTCATCGACCGGGAGTGTTGCCTTGCCCTGCGCACACAGTGGCCGGGTGGACCGACAGCGGGCGCAGCGAACGCCATTCCCTGTCCTGGCAACATTGTCTCCTCGGTGCAAGTTTGCACTTGCAAGTGATGCCGACGCTTCTAGGCGGGTAGAAGTAAGAAGGTGGAAGTAGCAAGGAAGCTGCTCCCATTTGGACTTTGATGTTTAGTGTATTTCAGGCTAAAAATAAAGGAGAAGGTGGTTTATAATCTAGTATGTGTGTGCGTGTCTGTGCACTTTGCATGCTGTAGTACTGTAACTAACCTAGTGTAATGTTGTAGTTTGGCATTTGAGCATCGCGTAGCGATTGCCTTTCATTGGAAGGGGGTTTGCCTTCCCTGGTGCCTGCTTCCTTCCTTGAGCTCGTTATAGGGTTCATAAGTCTAAATAGATATCGAGATAGAATTTTAGGCAGCAGACGAAGGGGAGCTGTTTGTGCTACCTTGGAACGTATAGTGTAATTTGAGATCCCAGTTTATCTCGCAAGGAGTAGTGCCTCTGGTACGAAATGGGGAGATATCGCGCTTTTGAGGGGTAGCAATTTTTCAGCAGCTAAAAAGCAAGATCCACGGGTGTTGAGTGTTTGAGATCATTATGCACGCATTCGGGGGTACTGGTTCATGAATGTCAACTAGGTACCAGAAGCTGGGCGTTGTTCAAATTGTCGCGGTTTCTTGCTTTTGTTCGGTGCGCTCTCGCAATGTAAAACAGGCTTATGCGCAGGCGCAGCTAAGTATTATCTAATTCTTATGAGTATCCAGGCAATTATTTAATCAATTTAGTGTTCTTGAAAAACGTATCTTGATCCATAACATACCAGTTTCAAGTGTTAGCTTTTCCTTGCCTTCTCTGAGTTTCCTTAGTCCCCAAATTAAATTATAAAAATTTTAAAATGTTTTCAAAACTTAAGCTGATAATTATGCACATAGGCATAATCTTGGTACAGCCTTAATGCGTTTAACATTACTGATGATAATTGCAGTTTTAGTATTTTAATTGGCGTATTTTATTCAGCTATCAGAACTCGTGTGTGGTGTGCCACGTCGACGTGTGTATCATTCCAACTCCTACAATGATTATAACAAAAAAGACGGGTAAAGAGGGCTCCAAGAGCCAAAAAACAATCCACTTTGATAATTTGTGTACAATTGGATTCTACAGGAATATCATCTTGGGTGTTACGGTGAGATACATTGGCGGTCCTCTTTCATACCTTGATTCAGTCGCACTTTTGTCCTTTGCAGCATTGATCTCAAATTTGCCTAGTAATCATTCTTTTTTGCTTGTGATAGCTACTTACTAGGCGGTTGCTTTTAGCCCAACCTTCGTTTGACCCATTCTTAAGCTTTGTCCATCTTAATCCCACAGAGTTTATACTTCCTCATTACGTACCTCTTTTTCTGGGATCGTTTCACGGCGCGTTACATTGTTCTCTCCTCTCTTTGCTTCATCGCAAACCTCTCTGCCTACCAATTCATGTCGTACCTCGCCACACCCCGCTATGAAAATGACGAACGCGGGAATAGTCGATTAGTTGATGCCGGTTTTGACTTGAACATTGGCCCCGGTAGCCTTGCTGAGTGAGTTTTGCTAAAAATCTCCCCCTCAAAATCGCTTACAGGTATACGTTTGATTAATACCTTTCCTATACCTCCTTCAGGCATGCGAAAGACCTCATCCTGACCTGCTCCTTGGTACAGGGCTTAACCCTTCTTCACAACGGCTTTTGGTTTCTACTTCTTTCCGTGAGTTATTGGCCAAATCCCGCTCTTAATATCGTTATATTTGCTGTGTACGGTGTTAATACGTTCATTGCCAGCGTCATCTAGAATATATCGCCTCAATTAACTTATGCTACCTCGTATGGTTTTTCGTATGCAACGGATTTATCGGGAAGAAAGTTGGTTACGATTTAGCCGATAAAAAATGGGAGTAGTTGGTGGAACAAGAACGGTAGAGCTCCTAGGTTCTGATGGTTCATTTTCCTCCAGGACAGTGGCATTATAATGAAGCTAGGTCATTGATGTGTTTAAAATCTGCTCTGATTGATAGATGATGTGTAGTGGCACGTGGTGGTCTCGTTCGCCTTATAGATTCCTGGTCGCGTGTGCTACCTCTTCTGGGCGCACATCCTAGCCCCGTGGATATTCGATCCCAACCAGTCGCCGCAGATAAGTGAGAAGAAGCAGAAAAAACAGGAACGTCGGTTGAAGCGAATGCAGAATGCGGGACGATGAGTTCGTCCTTTTCACACAAATTTCAGCCTCCCAGACGCACATGCGCAGACCCTCAGATGGGGTGCGTTTCTTCATTTTTTCCTTACCAAACACTGGCCTTTCCTTTATGTGTATTTATGTTGCCCCCAGACCTCGCTACTTGTGCCTGTGCGCGGTTTTAAGCTCAGCCACCTTTTCTGTGGAAAAGTGAGGAAAGGAAGGGTAGACTGTGCGTGCAGGATGTGCGCTGAGTTGGATAAAGTCTTGCTGTTAATGTCGTACTAGCTGGATCCTGTAGTTGTCTAGATTAATTGAAAGAAAAAGTGAATGAAGCTACTCTGCTTTGGGTTTGCCACCGAATTGATTACGCTAGCTGAATTCTGGGACTGGTTGGATTTTTCATTCAGGTCGTGCCGATTCGTCTTTGGGTCAGAATGCCCTCGGGGACCCGTGATGAGTCGGAAAGGTGACCTCCTCTCATTTTTTATGTGTCTACTGGAATCAGGAGCCCTATGGACATATTTTGCTGAGAAACTCACCATTCAATATGTGATCCTTGTTGGATATTATGTCAAGGCCTGACAGATGGAAGGTGTCCCTTGTAAATAGACTGGTCTGTGAAGACTTGAGACTGAAGGGCTCGTGAAATATGGTCTACTCTTAACTGTTAGTCTGAAGTTCTGCATAACCACTAGTGGGGTGACCGAGAGCTCCCAAGTAAGGTTTCTGAGACGCGATGCTTCTCAGTGCCTTGGCTGCTTTGTAACGACATTGAAAGGCTACTTCCACTTCTAGTGGGTTGCTTCTGCTCGTCTTCGTTTTCAATCAAGAAGTAAAGTCTGCTTGGTAATGAATGCATTTTGATCAAGATCATATATGATAAAACATGATACAGCTTGTTAGCCTCTTCTCTTCCCATTTATCAGGCCGGAGGCACAGTAATCAATCCGGCTGGTGCCTTGCCAAGTTGCAACTTCCCACCATTGATTAGTACATTTTTTACCACTTGGAAGCCCAAATTTTCCGGTCTGATGCCATAGTCTTCCAGCTGACGCTTGAACACGTCCAGTAGATCATTGTAGGCCTAAAACAACCCAAAAGAAGTTGCTTGTCAAATAATTTGGGATTTTTATTTATCCATCCATTCTTTCAAAAGTCGGCTAGACGCCTCATGATCCACAATCTGTGTGGAGTAGGGCATGGAAGTCGTCATAATCATCCAAAACTGGCTTGGTTAAATTATTGAAGCACGAGTGCTACTCGGTGCGCTGAGTTGAAACTTTCATCTACACCATTGATCAGCAGACTTATCACGAGGCGACGGAGTTGTGATACTTTTATTCTTATGGCGAATGGGTATATCCTAGTGTTTTTCACGAGGCTTTTTAAAGATTTGGTGTCAGTCATGAACCGTTTGTCTTTTTTTCATGCTCTGGTATCGTATCACAGTGTAACTCATGGCTTTACACCATCACATTCACGGCTCCACAGATGCCGAAACGTTATGCAAGCACTGGAGAGACCTGAAGTTAGTTTCTTTTAGTCCCATTTTCGTCCAGAATTCGCATTTTGAAACGACATGGTTGACGTCTCGAAATGTGGGTAGTCTTGCTTGTAGCCTAGAGATTTTACTCCGTTTCCTCGTTTTTATGATTAGATCGGAGAAAGGTCAAGTTGGTATGAGAGACGGACTCACCTTACACACCCTGGCAAGTTCGTAGTTGAGGTTTTTGATTTGATCATCCTTGAAGGCAAGGGTCCCCTAGGGGAGGGTAAAGTCTTCATTTAGATTATAGAAAGGTACCGCGTGGGCAGTTGATTTTCTTGGTACCCGAAGGTAACCCATATTGTACGATTACAGATTGATTTGACATCTGACACCCTCATTGTGTCGTTTTTTTTTCAAAAGTAGGTTTTTTTCACTACTAAGCTCTTTCTTGAGGCAAAAGAGGTTCTATTATCGACATCTGGTCCTCTTGACCTATCTGGCGTAGTTCATTTAGCTGATGGGGCTGATAAATGCCATCTTAGTGGAAACACGACCACTCTCTCAGTGTAATACGATTTCACTGGCTAACCATCGCTCCTTTTACCTACTACTGATGTTGGGATCCGTTACTTCAGAGCGAGAATGTTTCCGGTACTCGGCGAAGCATGCGATGAATCAAATTGTCTGCGAGTATGAACTTCCACTCCCGTAGTACCACCAGCAAATAGGTATTTGTAGATTTGAGCGTTTTTTTACCTCTTTGTGGGTAATCCAAATGCTGTCGCACGCTCATTACGTCCCTTAACCCGCGGATTATTTCCATAGCGTCCGGAATAAGTAAAATTCCTCTCCTGAGCTGCGTAAAAGTTTAAGCCTCGTTTTTGGGAAGCCACACCCAATAGGCAGAACGTACTGAGGCCATTGAATGACGTTTCCCAGTGAGAGCACAACCTGCCTGCGACAGCTACGCTGCACTATTAACGGGTGGATAAGTACCACGAATCAAAGGCTTGACTGCCCTCCCTTTTGAAGCTGTGATCGAGGGCCGGATCATAATTTTCCCTCAAGAATTGCCTATGCTTAGATAATGCCTTGTAGGGATGCATAAGCCTCATCTAAGGTGCTCGAAAAGTAATTTTGAGTCGCTTCTTTCAAGGTGTGGTCAAATGGTTGACGCATTTAGATAGGGTGATAAAGAATTTACTACGTAGACTAGTCCCTGAAAGAAGGATAAAGTGGAGGCGAAAAAGCCTTTGCTTACCGAACCAATGGCAGCCAAGGATTTTGGTGTAAATGAACAATCAATTAACCAATTTGCATTGACAGAGTGGAGGTGTAAAGTGTTATTCTTTCTGTGTGCCGTGTTCAGCAGCCCCTCCTCATCTCGGGTATTTAAGACCGACCGTAGTACTTTTTGACGTCATTTTATCCTTTTTTAGGGAAATGTCTGCCAATTGCGACAAATTTTAGCATCTAATACTCCTTACGTGACACGATGAATAACTTCAAAGTTCGAACTATTTTCGGATAGGCACGAATTTGTCATGGAAGTGTTCAGCGAGGGGTTGAGTAGATAATCCCCCGCAGCCAGACCATCCATTAGAAGAGATTTGGTATGTAGAGAAGGGAAACCATGCTTAGACGCCATCTTACGGTTAAGGAGGACCTATGTCTAATGGATGAGTGTTTTTTTTTCCTAATTCCCCTTGACGATGCGCCTCAGGAGGTGACCCAGCAAAGAGTGATCCTCAGAGTTACTGGAGCCAGTAGTAGGGCGCTAATTACAAAAGGTCCGACTACTTGGCAGTTCGAGTCGGTCCAGGCTGCAAAGTGGTGGTTACCATACATGACTCTACTTAATAGAGGGGTACTGATAGCGCTTGACATTACCTCAAGTTCTTCTGCAGCCATTCTTCCCTCCTCGCTGTCTCCTACTTTTGCAAGTCTGAGTAATTCCGCCCTCTCCAACTCCCTACCCAAACACGTCATCCGACGCTCCAGCAGGGCATTTTTCAGCCCACAGCTCTCCTTCACCTTCGCCACTGCAGTGTTGAACCGATCGTACAGTTCATCGCGTTCGCTTTCCGCCTAAAAGACAAATTTGAAGATGCGCTGTCACTTTCTGGGGAGGCGGTGACCTTGGTGTTGAACCGATCTGGTTGGTTGAAACAACAGCCGTTTACTGGATTATAGTGCAGCACGAAGTAAAGTCACTCATAATGTGTGGGACATTCTGAACTTGAACTATTTAGCCTTGGACTAATTTATTCCGATTCAGTCAACTCATAATTTACTACACGTCTTTATCCTACATAAAATCAAGATGAACGGCAGTTTTTTCTTCGCTTGTACAAAAACCAGTAAACTGTTAACGCAAATACTTAAACTGGCTTGACTACTTTTTGCAGACCTAAACAAAAATATAGAAGCCTAGGTTATATTAAAATTTCACCGTGTGTTAAATCTCAGGAGTATGAGTGAACCACTCAAGGATGAGGAATTTCAACCGGCATCCATGGGCCAGTTTTGATGACATACAATCTCCGCAGCTGAAAAAGTAGGATTAACAGTATTTTGCAGGAAGCCATATCGTCACAGAAAGCATACTGACTGCATCGGATAGAAGGCCTTCACGAATTGAAGATCTTTTGGGAGCGAACTGTTACTTACGAGTTTCAAGCGCTGAAGCAGTGCTTCATTGTCCAATTTCGTATCCGACAAGGTCTTTTTGAACTCTTTGAGTTGCACTCTTGCGTTCTACAATACCATTGGAAGCGGATAAAAAATGGAGGCAAGTTTCTGCTGACTAATTAAAATGTTCGGATGACTGACTTTCAATGCTTTCACATCTCGTTCGTGATTCTCCAGTGCCCGCTTTAAGTCATTGCACGCCTTTTGAGATTGGGAGAGATCAGTCTCGAGGGTACGGTTACGGGTCACCAACGCACTGTTCTCTTTGACAATGCGATTCTCGTTTTTCTGCAGCTCCTCGAGTTGACTCTGAGGAGGAAAAAAAGAGGTACACTAAGTAGCAGAGGGTGTTAGAAGCATGCTCACGATCGTTGAGAGGTTGTAGCACAGTAGCACGTTTTTAGGGCAATCATTGCGGATTTCTGGTAAGAGCTGGTGGTCGAAGAGACGTTTCAAAGTAAATTTACATGCGAAAAAGGAAATTTTTGGCTTCCGTACCGAAAGGTGTAGTGTTGAAGGGGTGAGGGGAGATGGATCAGTAGTGCCTTGCTCTACTATTCTAACTAATGCTTGAATCTTCTTAAGGACATTTTTATGGTGTCCTGGCTGACTCATTAGCATTGGTAGTTTCTCAGTCAGGAGACTTTCTTCGCACACCTTCGACTTGTGTCGAATTGGGTAGTAGCAAGTAAATTGCATCCTCGACTTGTTTGGCCTTCAGCAAGCAGTCTGTTTTGTCTATAGTCCACCGACACACGCAGAGCCGCACCTGCAGCCTCGTGTGGACGAAGTGGTCTGTGCCCGCCTCAGAAGTACGGATGGGTAGTGCCGTGTTGAATGGTTTGGAAATAGTTAGAAGATTCAAAAGGGCACAAAGCTGCCTCTCATTATACCGCATTTGGTTGACTAACAATCTATAAATTAAAAATCGGGGGTCTATCAATCGAAATAGGAGGTGTTCCCTCCTCATTGTAAAGGGTTCATCCATCTTCGAGGAATTTACCACCAGAATTTGGTTAACTTAACTTTTTTTAAACTATACGCTTAGACAACCGAGCGCAAGGCAATAAATTAGATGAGAGGGTACTACTTCCTCGCTGGAACTGACTTCTCAACTCAGTTTGTGGGGTAGATAAGCTCCAATCCAATCAGGTTCCTCAACCGAGAATCCACAGTTTGAGAGGTAAGCATAACAGGGCAATAGACTGGGAATCTTTTTACAATGGAACGGAATTGATCCTTTAAACAGTTTTTGATGTACATTGAAGTTTGTCGTCAGCGATTTGTCATAATTTTATAAAAGGAATCCGAACCGATGGATGTATGAGAAGAACGACAGGTAAAATGGTGAACGCATTTTTGGAATGGTAGGCTATAATAACTAGTTAAGCGTATACCTGACACAAGTGACTGGAATTCAGGATATTTTAAAGCCAAACCTACCTTAAGGTTATCAATGAGATTGACGTTATTTGCAGTGATTGAGCGGTAGTAATTCTTTATATCCATAAAATCTTTCTCATGATTCTTTATCAGCACCGAAATCTGTTCGTTTTTGCTCTCCTCTACGATTTGGATTTCCGTTCGCCTTTGTAAATCCAACCGCTCCTCCACTTGTCTCATCTTCTCCATGTAAACCTTCCGCTCTGCCTCCGACTGTTGCTCGAAACTTTGCCGCAGCTCATGAAGCTATGACATCAATGAATAGGTCATTCGCTCACTTGCTTTTCTTGGTCTAACTTCATCTGCTGCACTAGTTCATTATGGTCCGCTTGTTCTTTCCTCAATACCTCCTCTACCAATCTTGGCTGTCGAGTATTGGTCTTGGCCTCCTGAGTGGCCAATTCCACAGCAGAAACCATTTCGGCCTTTACTTCAGCCAACTGAGAAGCGTGGAAGGCCTCTAGCTGTCGTACGCGCAAGCGAAAGGCAGTGAGCTCGCGTTCGCGTTGCTCTGCCACAGTCTCTGCGGCCTCCTGGGCGACGCGGAGCTCGGCGTTCCGAATCTGCAACTGGTGTTTGGCGATAGTCCAGAAGGTGGAGACTTTGTCGCGCTCCACTTGGTACCAGTTGCGGTCTTCTCTTTCGCGCTCTAACTCTTGCCGCAGCCTCCCGACGTGGGCCTCTAGCTCCTCACGCGTCATCTCGTTCAAGGGCTTTACATCCACCATCAATGACTGCTTCTTTGATCCCTTTTTAACATTTCTTGTGGTTGTCACCTTCTTTAGAGGCTAGATATGGCAGAATATTTGTATTTTATTTTCGCCCACTCATCCATATTCGTTGCTATTTTGCAGATGGTTAAGCGTAGTTTATATATTCGAAAAGCCTGTTGTGGTAGTGCATACAAAAAGTTAGCAAGAATACAATTACAAGGAGAAATCTTAATGGTAAAGTAAAGGCAATGGCTGTATGACTTTACTAAGGGGGTGCATTACATTAATAAGTCGAGTTCAGGTGTGAAGTGAAACTATGCTGCAAAGCTAATACGAATAAAGGAAAACAACTAATCTATTGCAGTTCGGGCATTCAAATTACAAGCGCAAATAGTTTTTGGTTGCTGCTTTAATGAAATGGCGGTATGACTCAGGCACAAGGCTCAAAGTGTGTGATAACATGCTTGTAAGTGCATTGAAGTCAGGACTCACCGGTTTTTTAGTCTGATTAGCCCCAATGATGCGAACAATACATCGGATTTTAAGCAGTTTTAACACTTATGCATTACACAGAATCGTCTGCCCTTATACATGCTGTTTTTAAATCCCGGCTGCACGTTAAAGCAATTAGCTACATTTGAAATCCACCAAAAAGCTTATTAAGAAGCAACTATTCAGTTAGGTAAATTGCGCTTCATCAGTGCAAAGAAGCTCTGAAATCACTAATTTGTCGTACCATTTAACGAGTTTATTTCAACTGGTATTACTGTCACTATGACAACAAGCGGTTAGGCACCACTTGGCCATTCTTTGGTGGATTTGGTTAGCTCCAGCATGTAATAAACAAATTAAAGTAATTTTTTATATGGTTGTATAAAATATTATGTGCAAGCCTAAAAAGGGAGAGAAACTGCCCACTAACCGAGTATATTTGTTGGCAAGTGCAGCTCAATGTACGCTAAACGCCAAAAAAGCACAAAAAATGCTGGTATTTTGCTTTATTATTGGAAGACTTTATTTTTTTGGTAATTTTTGTCAGGTTGCACTGTACGAAATGGCAATACATTCAATGCATCAGAGTTGCACTACCAACTGTAACCGCCACAATAGGCTGAATACGTACTGGAGTCATTGACATATTTACAGGAATGGTGGGTTTCATTAACGATCTTCCTATCCCTCTTCTTCTTTTCCAAGACAAACATTTGCTTTATTTCTGTTATTGGCATTTGAGGTGGAGTACATTGCTTTTTTACGTAAACATGATATCTCAAATTCTGTGTTCCTTTTAGTAGCTGCACATGGATTAAGAGTCATCTAAGTGACAACCTATATCCATGTCTGCGTTGCTGATGTTTATTCGTTTTATTTTGTCGGGTTTTTTAAGTCATTCCTGTGCTTAGTCTAATTTTCGACTACTTTTAACAATTATCCTTCTTTGTTGACACCCCTGTTAGCATTGTAGTACCTGTGCCACTTTTGTTGAAAGTCTCCACAACTTTTTCAAAGCGATTTTTTAAATAGTTTTGAGTACTATAGCACTGAATGCGTACTGATTCCTAGCTGGGTGGCTCTTTTGCCCTTTTACGACAAGCAGTTGTCAAAGATTTCTTTCTTCAATTTTCATTCATTTTCGGAGTGCATATGGTGATTCGCATGCAATTTTGCCTGGTTTGTCAATGCAGTCTGGTCACGTAAATCCTTGTGCTGCTCCTTGAAACTTTTCAATGATGTCTCATACCTCTCCTTTATATTTTGTATTTAAACATACGCCATTATTATTGCCTTTAATGTTCTCTTACATGTTGATCTCCATTTTGTCTTTCGCATTCTTATGCATTCACAGGCCGTGGAACAGTCGGATCCATGGGCCATGACTCCCGATCAGAGGGCCTACTACCTGGCCCAATTCTTTCGTCTTCAACCCGATCCCAGTGGTCGTCTTAGTGGCCAAGCAGCAAAATCCTTCTTCGAACTTTCCAAACTGCCTGTCAATGTTCTCTCTCAAATATGGTAACGAATTGTTTTTGATGTGTCTCCATTTTGTTTGTGAAAATCTGTTAAACTGCGCCGGGTATGCTCTTCCATGTGCTCGCATTGGGTTCTTTGGGATTTCCTCTATCACCTTTTTCGATGTAAATAACTATTTAAGTGCATTACTTCTGGACATTTCTCTCCTACACTGGAAGAGTTTTGTATGGCCGTGAATTGGACGATATGGTGCACCCCTATCTAGTTTGCTTTGGGCATCAACCTACATTCTTCCCCATGTTTATTCGTTTATCGCTGACCAAGTAGAGCCATTGTAGGCACTTCTCTGAGGCGATTTGGGAAACTCACAACATTTGTGTCTGCATTTGCTGTCTACTAACATTTCTTTAGTGGTTTCTTCTTTTCCGCGTAGCTCCTTTGACTTTCTTCATCGGAGGCTTTCTCTTTCTTGTGGAAAAAAAATACCTCCATATTATTAGCAAGCCGTATTTTATGCGATGGTGGAAGTGTAGTTAACTGCAGGAGGGGTGGCAAACCGTGTTTCTCATTCATGCCACAGTATTGTCCATTTAACTACATTGTCGGGATGTTTTGTTCATCGTTATCAGAGGCTTTGTACATGCTTTCATGTTGGTTTTTGTGAGTTTCTGGTATGTTAAATCTTGATATTTAAATAACCAATTTTATGTAAGAAGTTATCACTAGACTTTATGAAACCAGCCATTCCAAGCGCATCCAAATTGCGCAGATAAATTCGTTTTGCTTAAGTAGTCACTAAGGTGCATTTTCTAGAGTTCGAGAACTGGACTTTTTTTCCAAAGCTAGCCCATTTGCAAATCTGGAATCTACTTGATTCCTTCGGCCGTCTGCTTCACTGTAACGTAGATAAGAAGCGATGCGGCGATTCACTAAAAATTTATGCCCATAGGGGAGTAGTAACAGGTGCTGAATTTATGTCGAAAGAGGTTCCTTTTTTGTCGAGTATGAATTAAATTCTCTTCATGGATTGCCGTAGGTTCTCTAATCTCCAAAAGCAGTGGTAGTCCCTTGTCACTTTGCCAGAGGTCTGTAGGCGAGAGACTGGATTGCTCGGTCTAAATCTCTCCTCTTTGGTCCTGTCAACTGGATGAATGCATTAGGTACCCATCCACTGATATCCTTCGACTTGTTATTTGATCAGACTAGTTGGTTATGCTGACGATGGAGCCCTGAATAGACACTGCTAGTCTCTGGTTATATTTCGGCACTTCTATACTAAAAGGAAGTGCTTTCAAACTTCGAGGATTTTCACAATTCATCGCTATAGTTGTTATGTTGCAACTTCACAATGAGTCAAAAGTAACGACTAGCTAGAGTTGTGGGAGACGGTCGCCTCATGCTTTATTGCACACCGAGCAGTGATTTACCTTGTGCCCCCCTTATGTGGGCCTGTTAAGAGCTCTCTACATTCAAGTAGCACTCTCCACTCTCTCCCTCTTCTTTTTAGAAAAACTCCTCGTCAAGGCTTATAGATCCACTATGGTAGCTATTATCTAATGGACACAATTGTAGCGGAGCGGAAGCGATGCTCTGACAGGCATATTTATTCCCGTAGGAAGTACTTTTTTTGCATAACTGTTTGAGGATGATAGTTCTTCCAATGTTTCCTCATTTTATCCTAAAATTAAGTTACGCATCCATCCTGATACATTAGGACTGGAATGGTGCCTTCTGGACGACAGGTGCTGCACTGATTTGCCGACTGACTTCCGAGATTCGGGGAAGACATGCCGGTTGCTGCTTGGTCGATGTTCAAGTAACTGGTTTGCGAGCAAGGTGTAGGGATGGATGGACAGCTATCTAACTCTGATGCATTATACGTGGATAAAAGATGAATGCATTGGTGGCTGCATGAATTGATAGAAATTTAGGCACGAGGACCGGATAGGCATAAAGACTAAGAAATAGGAGAGTAGAATAGACGATTACAAGCTCTGCCAGCACCACTGTTATTATTTTGCTCGTACCTGTCTAGGGAGCTCTCGGACGTCGATACAGACGGTCAGCTGAACTTGAGTGAGTTCTCCGTGGCGATGCATCTGGTGGTACTGCATCGCAACGGTGTAATGTTGCCCACTCAATTGCCTGAGAGTCTGCTACTCGTTGCTACCTCCAGTACCCTTTCCGCTCCTCCTCCTCCACCGCCGCCGCCTTTACCTCTACAGCCATCGCCGCCTACTCCTAACGCTTCCGTGTAAGTCTCTCACTGATGAGGGAAGCATTAGCAATTGTTTGTTCAGCAGTGTCTGAGTTACTCCTGGAGGCATTATAATGCTCATGCTTTGGTTTAGGGTTAGAGATTAGAATGTCTAGGGGACCAGTATCACAGGCATATTAAACAGGCTTCCATAATGCCGTTAGCAGGGTCAATTAAACTCATACCTTCAACCTTCTCCCGTGGCATTTCGGGCAACTAAAGAACTGTAAGAATGTCTTAGACCACTAGCCCTGCACAACGAGGTGCAGATTTGCTGCAAGAATCACTCTTACAGCAGCTTTTTTTCCCATGCAAGCAAACAATTTAACCTTAGTCAGCCCCCGTTGCGATGAGAAACGGCTTTGGACTTTGGGTGAATGGCCACACCAAACGAGCTAACACCGCACCACCCACCCACGGTTCTGAGACAGGGGCGCATCACTTCGTCCGCACAAGATCGCTCCTGCCTTGAAGGTCTGCACGTGTGTATGTGGTTTTGGCGAAGTGTAGACGAAATTGGTTGTTTTCTCACATCAAACAAAATCAATGGCTGTAATCCGCCTCCTTGATGCCACCCAACCCAACACAAGTGGAAAGTTCTTCTTGAAAAATGGCTGGGGCTGGTGAATCAGTTAGGCGACGGATAAGGCGCTATTCTTATTCGTCCACCTCAAGACCGTCTACTTTGCAAAACTAACCCGTGGAAAGACCTCATGCTGCGTTGGAGTTGTGATGGGAGGAAAGGCGGACGGGACGGAGAACGATCCTGCTTCACCTCATCCTCATTCTCGTTCTGTGTTCCGGTGTTGGTGTTTCTCCAAGCTGCTTGTGGTGATCACCGGAGCTACTCGTGGCAGTAACATTGGACAATCACTCGGGAAATGAACCCTTCAGTTACACGGCAGTCATGAAATACTTTGGCGGAAGGCTTGTTTAAATTTCCACTTTCGAGCTTCCCTTGCTGCTGCGATGATTCATCAATACTTGGTTCTTCTACAGCGGTGAATTGAAAGGTTAAACGCGACACCTCCAACCCAGTTTCCTTCCTTCCTTCCTTCTTCCTTGCTGACATTTTGATGAGCTGTGTGAGTAGATGATAGCTTTCCAAAAAATTAGGTTGTGTTGTTTTGGGGTGCGATTTGCCAGTCACCTATCCTTACACCCGGCTCTGTTGATTTGACCTGTCTGTTTAACAGATCATGCTGGTAAGAAGGAAAAAGAAAGGGTGTGAACTTTCTCCTAGTGGCACCGGTTCCACTTTTAGGCATCTGCAAGCCCTAGTTGACGGTTATCTTTCAATTGGTGGCGGCTCAAAAATTGGCCAAAATGTAACATTAATGGCCTGATGAGTCAGGTTTCGTATTTTTTATTGTCCAGATGATGGGAAAATGTGGAAGTTGGCACTTTCTCAGCAAAAATTATGGGATTTAGGGCGTCGTACAGCCCACTGGTAAAAAGCATCAGGCTATAACCTTAAATTTATTGCTCTTAGACGGAGAAAAGATTATTCACGCTCCCCTGATGAATGTGTGCTTGAATTCAATCACATGGACAACTTGCTCTTGACGTTTAATCTCTTCAAGGCAGCGCCAAATGTCAACAAAGGTCCGGATGTTCAAAGAGTGAACGATGGGACGAACTATGACCAACGGTGTTGGATGTGAAAGTAGGTTTTATATCACATATAAACCCGGGCTGGTGAGCATAATCGAAGGTGGGTAGGAACTGGAAGGAGCTGTGTCGGTGACAGGGTGGCAGATGCTGAATAGGTGGGTCAGTCCAGGTGCCTGTACCAAGTGATTGATCGCTGGCAGGTTACTTATTTCTCCAAAGCCTCTTTTGGCCCATGATTACCGCCTCGATACGTGACGAAGCCAGTGCCGAAATGTCACGTAAAACAGGATTCTAACCTAAAAGCTGTCTTGGTTTAGTTAGTATTGCACCCGTCTTTTCAATCTCAGTTGGGAGTAGCGAGAGCCTGGCGTATTGCGTTCGATGTTGCTGGTAAATCAAGCTCTGCGTAGTTTAAGACCCAATCTTTCTTTTTCATCTCCTTCTTCCCCTACTTTCGATTCATTTAGGAATTCTGATTCCCCTTTTTTGGCCAGGCACCAAACCACTCTCTTCGAGTCCGAATGCGCTAGTCGAATTAGCTTTGCTTGTCTTGAGTGTGGTCCCCTCAACCTTGGGGTGTTTTTTTCTCCTGTCAGCCACATGGATGCTTATTCCACTTACTGCATCTGAATCACTCATGATGACATCTGCAAGCAGGCGGTGGATGCGGTTTTCTATCCAAGTTGCTGGTTCGACTTGTCTGGATCCTGTTTGTTTCTCCATGAGCTACCGCAATACCCTGGGCTGATCAAAATGCGTTGGTCTAGCAGAAGAGGACAAAAAGGCGGAGCCTCTCTCAACCCACGGTTGGGACACTGTCATCATTTGCGTCGTATACCCTCGGTTTGCATTATTTTCTGCATGAATTCAGTAAATCTCCCTCGGTCTTGTCTTTCATCGCACCAAGTTCTCCTCTTTCTCATGACGATTAATTTACCCTTTGATCTAATCTGGTCTGACCTCTTCTAGAATTGAGTTGGCTTTCTGGCTTGATTCTCACTACTTCTCAACCTCGCCGTCTTGTGTGGGGACCGAATCCCCTTTCTACATTCTTTTTTTACTGTAGTGGCGTCTCTAGCACGTAGAAAGAGCCACCTCCGTCGTTTCATCGGTCGCATTTAAAGTACATTTGATTTCCTTCTTTTTCCACTATTTGAATGTCTCCTCTTATTTCCTCATTCTTGCTGGTGGTTAAACAGCAGGAATTTTGGTCACAGAATGCCTAAATCTCGCCCTGCGTTGGATCTAATTTGACGTGAAAAAAGGCTTGAGCTGGCGCCTGATTGGTCCGCCTCAAGGCCATCTGGTTTGTGCATACACACATGCCCACCTTCTGGTGTGGTTGCCAAATTCCTTTGCCAGTGCCACACGCCTTTGGTCCGGCACACTGTGGCGTCACCACTGGAGATGCCTTGAGCGACTAGTGACGCGGAGCAACGCTTTTTTTCGCGTCATTCTTATGGGCTGGCCACAAAGCCTTTGATACGTTGAGAGTCGCTTTGAAGAGTTGTCACTTGGGTCAGTAGACCAATCTAACGCAGGTCAAAGTTCCATTTGGCCTTCTCATTTCGATATCAACTTAATTTTGCATAGTTTTATTGTTTCTAGAGTTGAACGCCCACTTTATGTAGATTCTTGGCCGGGCCATTTTCGGAGATGTCGTGATTTTATGGATGCAATAATACCCCACCTTATAAGCGAGAAATTTTTGAACTAGACTTGAACTGTCTCCTAAAATTAACATATCGGGTCCATCTGTTCACCTCTAAAACAAAATGATTCGTCTTTTGTCCCACTTCACGACATTTTAAACGCTGATCACCTGGAGTCAGGTATGAATGATGCTGTGCCGTAGGCTGGGAACCATCACGGTCGGATCATCACTGACAGCCAGACAGCTGATTACTTCTGGAACGTCTTGACTAAGCGCCCCATCACCGTGTTGTGCTTGAACTCTTCTTTGGAGACAGGGTAGGTATCCACGGATCCGGGTTTCGCACCTTTACTTGCGGGGCCTTTCGTTCAATGCGGACACGCATCATAGCTACTGCTGCTTGACATCCTAGTTAACGGTGTCTGGACTGTACATGACATGATAGGCCAAACTTGTAAATTAATGCGTCCGTTACAGTAACATCTCTTCGTGGAGGGACTATACTTAAGACAGCCTAGTGATTACTTCCGCCTTCTTAATCCCACTAAAGTAAGCCCAAGAATGGGCAGTTAACCTTTTTAAGACTCGTTCCTTATCCGCCTCATTTTCTCCACTCTAGACCTGATACGACCTTGACTATCACCACAGTCACCAACACAACTGCGGCAACGGTTGAGCGACGTTTGCGGCTGTGCGAGCATCACTCCTTCGATTCGACCCTGTCGGGGTCTGTCCACGCCACTACTGCTCCATCCTCCACTTCGCATCGCCGATGGTCCGCCTCCAGCCCTACCGATAATGTCTCCCTTGCCGAGGGAATGACCTCCTTTGATGGACGCCTTGTTCCAAATGCGCAGGTAGGCCACCTACCCGAAGGTCATTTTGCGTTGTGGAAGCTTTTAATATACCTTGGCTGCTGTTTCTTTGATCTCGCTTATCGCTCATCTAAAACTCGACTTAATTTTCTTGTTCACTTCAAAGTAATGGTATTCGAAACCCATTGAAGGGGTACTTAGTCACATTTCAGCACTTCTCAAACCATCGACTCACTGCTGATTAGCTACCCGGGAGGCCATTCAGTCACACTCCGTCTCCTCTTACAGGTGCGGCATCCAATCGCGATTCGAGCCAACCCAGTTCAGGTGCACGGGGCGACGTTAGCGGGAGGTGCTCGTGCACCCACTCCACCCCCCAGGGCTAGAGCTAAGACCATGCCCTTGGACACCGTCGTCTGCCCTCCTGTAAGTCCCCTTTGTATGATGACTAGCAGTATCTCTAACACCTTCCAATCACGCCTTTTTTGCGGCATTTATGGGGCATATTTTTCAACCACTTTTATCCTCTCATCTCTTCAAAGATGCTAGGCTGGAATGGCTCCAAAGTGCTTTGAAAATGTTTGCATATCGTCACACTTTGAGTAGCTTTAGTCTGCTTCTGTCTCCTTGGCTCGACAGCCGATTTTTGTTATCTTCTGTTAGACGGCTTTTGACTTACCCATGTAGTCTTTGAGAAGCCGCCTAAAAACATCGCTTTGATAGCGCCGCAAAATCTGGCTTTAACTGCCTACCAGAACGGAGTTCACCGCTTGACAACTTCATCGGCTCACTGCATTGGCAAGCTAATTGTTACTCTCCGACTCACATTCGAAGGTACCATGATCTGACACCCTAGCCTTAGTTTCGCAAGGGTTACAATTCGGACCGCATTAGATGTAGCGGTTCATCCCTACGGAGAGCCGAGTGGAACGGTGTCAGCATTGCATTACACCGACCTCCGAGTGATTTGAATGCATTGTCTACAGGAACGGAAGTACTTTGTTGTACGACCACTGGAAGCGCTGGTTCAATTGGGCTTTTCAGATGCCGGATATTGCAATTGGTAAATTGGATGCGCTCAATTTCACATTGACAGTTACTTTTATGGGTAATTTGGGGTGGATTTATCCGGCAATTTAAGACTCCATCATCGCCATGACGTCTGATCAGATCTGTCACGTGGTTCATAACTCATTTTTCAGGACCGTTTTTGTACTCGTTTGTCGCTGCCTCGAGGTGTTTGCGCTGTACTGTTTCACTAGTCGTAGACCACTCTTGAAGTCGATGATGTTGATGAGGATGCAGCTCTGCCTAATAGCTGGGAAAAGAATCCAGAGGGAAGTCAAAGGACAGAGTTGGAGTGAAGGTAGCTTCACATTTGACATTTTGTCACCTCTTACATGACCTCTGACCACTTACTTTCAGTGTTGACGTGGCACGACTTGGCACCACCTTGGACAGCATAGCGTCTCGTATCTTTGCCGTTAAAGAGGGGTGCCAGTTGCGACCCATTAGTGGGAAATGTAACTGACCCTCCTCATAGGCGAGTAAGCCATCTGTCCTTATCTGCTTGAATGTGAAGGCTCCGTTTTGCGGAGGCCCCTCTCTCCTCCCTTTCGGCGCCATTTTGACCACTTTAAGTTTTCCATCGAATATTACCTAGACGGTTTTCTTTTTACTCTTGTCTGTAGAATTGCCTTTTCATGTATTTTTATCTCGTTTATTGTAGCAGTAAAGTGGGGCCGCTTTTATCCGCTGCCCACTTTCCTGCATAATTCATGGCGTGGCATGCCATAAACCAACTTGAGAGCGGGTGTCGTAATGCCAGAAGTTGACATTACCCGAAAAGGTGTGGCGTTCGCGTAAGGCTTCGAATGCAGCCATATCTACCTCTTGAGTAGCGGCACAGGTCAGGGGGCCCTCGGTGTTGTGAACGCACCTGTCCGTTACTCCCATAGCAATGCCCAAGAGGAGAGATATTCGTAATACGGTCAATGATTTCTTTCGACCCTCCCTCCCTCCCTGAAGTGGTGCTGTGTCATACGCTTCGGACAGTCTGTGGTACTTCATTCTCAGACCGTGCAATCTGTGTGAGAAGGAGAGGAGGCTAGCTGAAGCCCAGTACTTCAGATTGAGGGCTTGGCAATCCCCCGAAGATTAGGATACTGACCACTGCAGTTGAAATAAACCCTCCACTGTTTGATATAGGTCCCGATGAAATACCATATTTTTGTTGGTGATTTAATTGGGCAAGCGAAGCGTAGAGAACGCCTTTTCCTCTTTTTCGCCAGGGAGCAAAACGCTCCAGGCAAGAGGCCTTTTCCTGGTGTTGAAAAAGCCTTATCCAGTTGCAGTTGGTGGCTGAGATAGTGCTAGCAGGTGGATCCTTCATCATCTCTTTTGGTCCCGAACATTCCACCTTAACGCTTAAAATGTCTGCCTACCCAAACTTTTCCTCTACTCCCTTCGACTGAGAATGATTTGGCACTGTGGCAGCAAGGTATTTCGAATGGTTAAGTAAAGTTTAAAGCCATGTGAACTTGCCAATTTCAGTTTATTTCTTCGACCTAGTTAGATTTAATTGAACCTTCCCTGTTATGTGGCTTACTTAATTCGCCCGTCCCACGTGTCACATATGTGTGACACGCGGCTCTGTGTCAATTGGTGATGCTCGTAGCTACGCCACCCTGTGTCGCCAAACATACTGCTGGAGCTTAAAGTAATAAATGAGTAAATTTGATAGACATTCCTGTTTTCAAGATGCATATATTTGAGTAAAATGAAGTGCATTCTCCTTTTCCACGTGAAATTCATCACTGTTTTTTTTCTTTTATGATGTACTCTTTGCGCTCTAAGAAGGTCGATTAAATACCAGCATCATCTTAATTGGTCTTGCTTTTGTTTTTTAAATAAACATGAAACTTATGGTTCCAGGCACTTCACAACGCTGAAAAGTGGCGTTCTTTTTTCATCTCGAGGAAACGTAGCACAGGTACTTCCTCTGTGGACGTTGTTGACTCGTTTAAGCTTGATTTTGGACTTGGTAGTTGTTTTGTGCTGGGAGTTTGCAGACCTGGGCATTCACGAAGCATCCCTTCGCTCTGTGGCATTTTCGTTGGTTGGCTAAATCGAGATTGTTACTCCTCGGGAGTGGGCGTACTTGCCGCTGCCGCTACCGAGGAATGTTACATCCGACTTACTCTTGACGATGTTGAGGCATATGGTAGTAAGATTTTTTCTTCTACAGGCATGGAAGAGGGTTGGGAGAATGGTTGCTAAGGCCATGTGAATAGGTTCGCGGGAGATCGGGAGGAATCGCGTAGTACTATGTTAGGGTTCCAACGCCTTCCCCTTTGGCAAGAAATAAGCAGAACAATACTATTGTCAAGATAATGACGTAGTTGGCACTGGTGTATAATTTCTGATACTTTTTTTTTCTGCCTTTTAGCTCCTCCGCCCACCTCTTCCATTGGCACCGCAGTAAGTCCGCTACAGCAAAATGGGATTCCTCCCTCGCCTTTATGAGTGTATGCGCCAATAAAAGGGCATTTTGGCGTCTGACCCGATCGGGTACCAAATTTAATAGCACAAGCGAATGCTGACGCAATCAGCCGACATTTATTTCTTCCAGTTGCCTTTCAGTTAATGTGGCAAACATAAAAAAGGGTATTTGGGCAAGTCTATAGCGTTCGTGTAGGCGCTTTTATCCCATCGCCTCAGCTGTTTGAGAACCTGTACCCTTCGTTGCTCTTCCATTCCCCTTCTCTATCTTGCAATGTGTTTGCTTTGAGAACAAAGGAATTCATACAGTCTGTTCTCTTCCAACGATTTGTGTGGAGTGCGCTTGCAGTTGCAGACAAAGCGGAATGGAGCTTAGGTAGGTGTCATCATCAATTGACATGCTGTCAATTGACCGCCAGTGATTTTGTCATGGCAACTTGGTGAGTTGGACAGTGAATCCCCGAAGAGCGAACAAGTTGTTGGGAGTCCCCATTTCCAGGCGGAAGGAAAAGAGGACTAAACAAATAGCGCTCGAGGTGGGGATACGGTGCCCCATATTTCCATTGCTTGTGTCTGATCACCTGGGGCGTTTGTTCCCTTTGGTAGGCTTCTAAGAAGCAGTTTTCCCCTACAAGAGGATCATGGCTACCCACTTCTACCGAATGGATTTGGGTTTGCATTTTTTCCCCCCTTCTCCAATATGATGCTTGAATAACTGAGAACGTGGAAAAGAGATTTTCTCGTGAAAGGTTTTCACACTCTTGGACAAAATGAGGTCGACCAGGAGCCATTATCACCGCCGTCCGTTCCCGGTATGTTGTCTTGGCTGGAGTCTGCGCGTCACCTTGTTGTGAGAATTATATTAATGACGTCCAGCCATGGCCACCGTTTGACAGCTAACACTACTTTTCCCCGCTGATTTTGTTGGCAGAAATGGAAGTCCAGGAAATTAATTCAGTTGATGATAGCCTTCGCCTTTCAAAAAACTAGCACTACTTTTGATTGCAGACAAGCGGATGAGGTCAAACGGGAACAGTTCAAGTAGAGGGACGTCTTAGCACAGTGAACTATAGTTGATCTTAGGCGGGTCCATTTTAAGGTTTAAGGGACCTTTGTGTTATCACGAGGTGAGGGAAGCTTTTGAAACTGCCATATTCCTTCATGAAGCTTCAATACTACCTCATTTCTGGCGCATTTGTGATCGAGGCGAAAGTCGAGACAGTGCAGCAAGCTGTTGCTTCTGCAGTGGTGAACCGGATCCCCAATTTTCGTCATGATACAAGTCGCCGTTCGCGCACCAGCAGTAGCAGTTTTGCAAACGTTCTACCACTAATTGACATTTTGACCTGCCTTTCCGAATAGGACAAATCTCAGTATTGTCACGGCCGGCTGCTACTCCTCGGCCTACTGGTTTCACTCCTCCTGACGCACATCTGAATAGGCGATTTAAGTAGTATTTACCACTGCAATGCTCATTGGTGAAGGCGCCATCATCTTACTCTGTGTGGGGATGAGTGTATGGACTTCAAAATTGATTTTCCTGTAATCAAAATCTTTCCGGATTATTATTATTTTTTCAATTGTCAATATGACTGTCTACTATGATCTGCTATAAGTAGTATCTACTCCATCCTTAAATCCTCCTCCTTTTTTGTGTACAAGCGACTCAACAAACACTCTAATTAGTCGGTTCCTAATAATATCTTTTTCTCAATCATTAGGTCTTCACTTGCTGTAGGCATTTTAAGTACTATTTAAGATATTAGCACCTCTCATTACCGTCATATTGTCTCCGCATCCACCCCACTCAAAAGTGCGCTTGCCTTTTTTCCTTGGACTACATCATCGGATATTTTGGATTTGAATTCATCCAGGTAATCTCCAATCATCAATTCCTTCCAAAATGACCGCTCTCTTCATGCCTACCTCGAGTTGTTGGGAGATGGTTCCAGTAGCACCTCATGATGGGATTGCTACCAAATATGCGAATATACTTTATTTTTGCGTGCTAAATACCCCCACGACGTCTTGATTTAACGTTCAGTTTTCTCTTCACTCAGACAGGCGACGTCGGCAGCGGCAGTAGCGGCGTCCAGCGCTGCGAGTGAGCAGCACTTGGAGCACCTTCGAGTGCAGCAGTTGACTGAGGCGTTGGTGCCACTGCAAAAGGAGTGCGAGCGCATTGTGCAAGAGAACAACGTGCTGACGATGGAGTTGATTGCATTGCAAAAGCGACGCATCGCGCTGGAGATTCTCCTTGAACGTCTAACGCCTCTGTAAACAGCCGCCCTCCCTCGTTATCACGTTAACGTTTATCCGGTACTCCCCTTCTCATGTTTACATGTATTTGGTGTACTTAGTAATACGAAGTCTGATTTTGACTAACAAATCTGTATTCTAGAGCTTAAAAGAAATGAGGTAGCCTTAGAGACTTCCTAGAGCAGGAGAGTGTAGAAATGTCTTTACCATGGACGGATGGAATACCTAGGCGGCTAGAAGTATGGATGGCATTGAAGGGATCCATATCACCACAATGTTTTTCTGAATCGCGGAAAACTGTAAGGTTCGTGGATTTAGATGTTCCACCTCCAAAAAAGCCCCCTTTCTTTCATTCAGGATCCTCGGAATTCTCCGTTGTTGCCCTTTTTCTTCATTGGATGGTTTTCAAGAGGATTTCTAAAAATCACCAACTATTTTGGCAGGGAGGCTAGTGGTAAGGCCTCGACAATGGCTCTTGACAACCATCTTCTGTACACTAAATGCTTGTTATAGAAACACTTACCCTTAGGTCGCTCTACACAGTTAGGTCATTCTTAAAGGCCGACTACCGCTTGTTAGAATCCGATCCCGCTCACTTACACTAATTGCAGAACTTGAGGTTAGAGTGGTTAGCAAAAGTTCACGTGAATTTGACGATGAGTCTCCGCTGTAGATTACTTTGTTCTGTGACGTTTCGGCGAGAAGTAAGACTGCTTCTAGCACGCCTGCCTTCGGACAACGTCTCCTACGTGGTTCCTGATGCGTTTGCAGATTTAGAATCGCTTCGAAGAAGGACGGTCCTCACCCCTTCCATCGGCCAAAGTAGTGTTATTGCTCTCCATCCATTAATCGACTAGCCACCTCGTTTGTTGTTGTTTTGGGCTCCTATTTGAACGATGTTGATGATATTGAGGCACGACATCACTTCCCTAATAACAAGAGGTAATGAAAAAGGGGATCTACCTCTCCGAAATCGTCTGGGTCAATGTAGTTGTGCTCGGATAGAGAGCATTTCACTACTCAAGGTGGCTACCAACAATTCCAACATTCCTCCATCTCTTGCCTTGGAACAACGCAAGTACCAAATGCACCTGTCAATGACGCACAAAGCTGTCAAATACTGGTCAGATTTTCAGCCGTCGCAACACTGCCGAATAGGTGAGTATGCGTTGGAGAAAGTGACCCAGAATTTTACTCCTAACTGCAAAATTTCTTCCTCTCAAGCCTTATAAAGATAGTCTAAGGTGGGGAATGTTGTTAACCTGGAAAGTAAATCCCAACACCACGGCTTCGAAAGTTGCGTGTATGTGGGAGGGGGGGGGGAAAAATTTCTAAAAAAAAGTAAGACGAGGAACTCTGCACAAGCTCCACCTGATATTCAGGGGAAGGCAGGGCATTTTCGAAGTAGCTTTAGCATTGGCTGAGTCGTGAAGTCCGGTTCCAATCTTTATCTGGGAGCTGTTAATGGAATACAGACGTTCTCAGAGCCATCTACCGTGATTGGAAGGTAGCATCCACCCGATAGGTAGTCAGACGGATTTTAAACTAGAAGAGGAACTTAAGTGACAATCGGAAATTGGCGCAGCCAATGGAGAGGGCTGTTCGGGTACAATGAGGATCGTGCAACATCACCCCAGAGCTGTCGGGCCCTGGATTAAGGGATTTGCTTAGAGGGGGCTTTTTAGGACGACCGAGCTCCCTTTCATACGGTCTAGAGGTGGATGAAAGCTGTTCTAATCGTGATTTTAATACCTTGTCCAATTAGAGCCAGGTCCTGGAGCCTGCAGTTGAAGGGGTAGAACCTTCTCCCCGGGGAAGAACCTTCCCCATGGCGTCTAATACGCTTCAGGATCCAAAAGGGAAAAGCTTTTCTGGTGCTTAGCAAGCACCAGGCCCTGCAAACTAAAATTTCTTGTAGATGAAGATTTGGTTCACCACTTTCCCAGGAAGAATTGCCTCCGTTTCGATTTCACGGCGCTGAATGCTCGTTCGTTGGTATGAACGACTGCTGCACTGCGGGCTAGGAACCACCACAGTCGGAACCGGCCACGACATTGGCGAGGGAGGCCACAGTAAAGGCCACGATGCTGGGAAGCTAGATGCATCTATGTTGGCCCCTCGAATTTCATCGTTCAAAGTACCCGTGAGGGTCTGTGCGCAGTTATTGCATTCCAGTAGCATTAATCAGTAGGGTTCCGGAAGACTACAAGTAATTTTTTTCTCCAGAGAAAGCCATATCATGTCAAATGTCGCCCCTTTAACACTCTCACAGTCTAGTTTCGTTGCCCTCCCCCCGCAATACATGAAACCGAAACGGCTTTGTCATCGGTGGCGACACGTCAACTCGGCCGGGGTGATGGAGATGTTGGAGGCTTTCAAACGACCACGGGGAAAAGTCGTTCACGTTGGGTTAAAAGATCTCCACCTTGAGAGGGGAAGATGTGTTAAGAGGTTGGGAGTGGAGCGGCTTGAATGCATTTGCGGTAAGGTTGAGTAAAACCAATGCCGGTCGTCAAGTGCCGTCGGAGACGTCCGTTTTTTCTCCACCAAGAATGGAAGTATCTTCGCGGACTTACCAAGCGTCCCGACGATTTTGGGGAGTAACACGACTAAGGATCGAAGAGAGCTGTTAAGCTCTGGTCCGAGAGCATGGCCTAAGAAAAATCTGACGGCTTTGGGGCAGATTGCGCCTTCGCATATAGCCCGAACAACCCGGATGTGAATAAGCAAAAGCTAAAACTCGCTTGACTACCTTTGAGAGGGATGCCCAACACCCACGTCCAACGAACTAGGAGCTCCGCGTGACTTCAGCGGGTGAGGTCGACATTTGTGTCGAAGTGGTGCTTGCGGCCGAGGGACTGCGATGATATCATTTTATGCGGAATGGCGTGTTGCAAACTATGGAGGAGGCATTATTTTTCCTCCGACCTGTCTCCCCTACAGCAGGCATTTTCTCCCAGGCGACCAATGAAGGTCGTGCGGTTTTGAGTAGGGTTTACGAACATGGATTGGGATAGCCTACGGGATCAATCCATATCGGAGGCAGTTGCAATGGAAGTGGTAAATGGATTAGTTGCAAGTCACGTCCACATTGCGCAGGGCGTTCAGGTTTAAATTAAATTTTTTGAGGTGCCAGAAATTACACTTACCACTCCTCAGCATTCGATGCGGAAGGAATTGCCATTCCGGCCGAACCACCATGGAACAACCTGCAGGTGAGAACTTTCCGACAGCGCCAATGATTACGAGGAGGCACATTCACCCTTCCCATGGGAAGACTCGCCTCCCACCAGATTATCCGCAATCGGGCGCTTTCAAGGTTCACATAAATGACCGCCACGGTGGTAGTGGGATAGAAACCACCACGGACGGGATCGTCATAACCTGGTCACCTTGGGAACATTTCCACCAGTGCGTAACTGGGCGCTTCATCGATGTACTGTGCTGGGACACTTCTTTAGAGGAGTTTAAGGCCTCCTTTCACAAGAGACTTCAATCCAGACCGCAGAGTGTCACCATCGGCGCTACCTGTCATTGATGACAGGCGGTGTTTGAAATGGCCAGTGCTCCTGCCTTTCCGAGCCCTGGAATCCAAAGTCCCAAGTTGACTTGAACCATAGAGGGATGAGATGTAGTTGCTTGCCTTGACGCTTCACCTTGAGAGGCGAAGTTTTCCAGCACTTCTGACTGCATAAATCTCCTAGCAAATCACACCCTGCCAGTGTTTCTTTTCAGCTTTTCAAGTGTGTGCGGGTATCGTGAATCTCCCCCCAGCGTGCCCATTCCCCCCATGTTGGCAAGTAATCTAGCCAGGAGTGTAAGAAGCGGGAATCGAGTACTCCCATAATGCATTCCATTACTAAAAACGCGACAGAATTGCAGATTCTTTTGTCAAGAAAAGGCAACAAGATCTTCAGGAATAGAACGCTACTAAAGATACTGCTGACAATGAGTTGGGTAGATAACAGTGGGCCAAAGGCAATTAAGATAGATGACATGGAATGCATTGCAACGAGGAACAACAGCCACAGTGACGTTTCAAGTACGCATACCTCATGAACAAGGTGAAATGACCGATCTTCTCAACCCCGATCAGTAGACGATCTCACGGCAAATGGAGGCGTCAGTAGTTAGCCGAGTTTACCTCCGGGTACATGCATAATGAAAGAGATCACGAACCTTTCGAAAATAAGAGTATCAACGATTGATGGACACGTAACAACTTGCGGATGCCTCTTCGAACACCGAGAACTAACCTCGATGCCATTTCTCGACAAGTAGTAGGGCTAAACCTGTACAACTACCCGCACGGGCTCTTTCGTCTGCGCAGTTCCGATTTGCACCCTGCAGTCGTGGGGTTCTAGGCATGGCTATGACCTTCCAAATATTCTGTAGGTCAAAGACAAATCTTCCACTCTACTGGTATCCCTCCTCACGTCTAGTGATACCTCGGCAGCATCTTGATGGAATTTCGGCCCCTTGTGAAGCATGGGGCGACTTTTGGCGGCGCCTTAAAGTAGTCATACAGCTGAATAGGTCGACCGAGCGCTGCACGCACAGTGGATGGCAGAATTCGCGAAGACGCAATCTAGTCGAGCCTCCAGGTAGTAAAATATGGGCAGGGCATCCCGACCTGAGTTGTGGGAATTTCAGAGCAACTCTAATGGCCGACCAGAAATCGGAATGGGGTTTAGAAGCTGCTTGGAATGACAAAAGAGTTTGATTTTCATTCCCACGAGCATCGCAGACGGACTTCACTACAATCGACAAGGAGTGTATTGCTGTTGACGATCTGAAAAAGTGGACGCAGGAGACCTAATAACTGAAAACCACGCCTAGAGGAAGATTGAGGCTACGACGAGTCTGTGTAGCGTGAATCCTCCGCCTTTTGCTATTCGACTGCGACGGCAGTACGGGGCTCTGACTATACCCGCTGGACTACCAGCCTTTCAGCCCAGCTGCAGGTAGGCAACAACTCTACCGTCTGGTGTTTCCATGGATGCAGCTTCTTCTGCTCATAACATCGATTTATGCTCCCCGTCTACCAGAAGAAAACTGGCAACAAGATACGCGCGTTCAGTTGGAAGGGAAAAAAAGGAAGGTGGGGATAAGAGCCCAGACATACGGACCAATTACAGCACGGGCGAGGATAGCAGACGTACGGCCCGCCATCAATCAGCCTTTCCACGGCGGCGTAAGCGATGCAAGAGGTGACGAAACTGATAGCGAAGTCGCAGTCACAATGGTGGGGCGGATTCAAAGGAGGATCTACAAGGTGCTGCACGGTTTCAGCCCGCACACGACATCTAGGGCTAACACGGGCAGTGGGGCAAGAGCAGTCCCCACCGTAGTTATGCTAAAATTTTTTTTTCTTCGTTGAAGATCAATCCCCCCGATCAAAAATACGGCATCTACTTCCACAGAAAAACATGTGACATTAAAGGCCATCGCCGAAACCTAAAGCAAATGCGCTACTCAAACACGACCTTGTTTCAGCCTGATCCCATCTTGTCATGAAGCTGGTAACCAGAACCGTAAACTATTACTCACCTCTAGTTACCCTGATTTGAACCACAAAGACTACTACGTCAAAGGGGCGTCAAGAGATCAGTACCGGGGACTCGTTGATGTCTGGCCAGGACCGCTTCATAGGAGGAACAGAAACTAACACACCAAACCGCTAAAACAGGATGGAACCATTCGAGACTGCACAAACACGCACTTCTTACTCAAAAATTTCACCCATATTCCCCCAGCGAATTCAACAAAGATGAGAAGTGTGAAGAAAGAGAAGACAGCGCCAGGATCATCGATGTTAATATAGTTCATTACTCTCAACGATGCTATCAGTCTTCGCCTCTACTCACTCAGACACAGAGCAATACGGAGATGAGACCGAGAGAGGGAGGGCCATGACAGCGATAGACCAAATGAAGAAGAAAGTTAAGAGAGGAGGAGGAGTGGAGTATTAAAGGTGTTGCAGAGGGAAGGAGAGGCGGTTAAAGAGGAACGCGCGCCGCTCTCTAGGCGCCTCTACAACTGCTACAACCACACAAGCAAAACTATACACGGGGGATAGGAAGCAGGCGAAAAGGAACAAAACCGAAGATGTGCTTTTTAGGATAGAGGGGAAAAGGGGGGGTACAACAATGGAGACTCGTGAGCGAGCAAACACATTTCTCGTTTCGGTAGGAAGAAATGAAAGGACTGCGGCGGTGTCTATCTACTTGTTATTGCCTCATCAGCTTTCTCCTCTGTTTCCAAACCCTTCTAGAGCATAAACTTGCCCACAGCGAGAGCAAACAAGAATGTGATGAGAAGGTAAATAATCGGTGGGACGTTCATCCGCAGCGTCTCCAGGGCACCCGATGGCGCTGCCGCAGTTACCACTGGCTGGGAGGAAATCTCGCGACCCAGTTTGTTCATAGCGGCCTGGCACTAATCGTAGAATGAAAGAAAAAAGAACAACAACTACTCTCATACGCAAGTACCGACCTATGCCCCTTTTGCGGGCAGTTTTAATTCAAATTGTCAAACATGTACTAGATGGGCTTACAAACTTGATCAAGAAAAAAGCGAGGATGAATTTCTAACAATGCGAATAATTACAGCTTCCCCAATGGTGAAATCATAAGCGTAGACACCCATGACCAAGGAATTAAGAGATCTACTAAAAGCAATACCGGGCTGAAAATACTTTCTACAACGGATGATTGGAAGGAAATGACGAAAAGACAAGGGTAGAAAGATACGGGTTGAAGCACGGAACTACCCAAAGTCATCGAATAAGCACTGGGGGAACATACAACACCATTACCACACTAACGCCTAACTACCTCTCATCCTTAATTAAACGAAACTCACTAAAATGGCCCTTAAGAGAAAGTTGCATTCTTCAGTATGCAGACACGTGGCACAAAGCACGAGTACCACCGTGATCGGTTGTTAGTTTCGTGCAAATGAGTTTGTTACGTGACAGAAGTGCATACCACAAGTTTGCATCCACTTTTGTGCTCAAACGTCTCAGCATCATCATAAAATACAAGACGAAAATGAACCCAGTAAATGGCAAACAAAATGATTCCAAAACTTATGGAAGACCTCAAATACGAGCCTTCGAGTCAGAAGAACGTGTAATTTGGCCACCAATGCAAATAGATAGAGAGCAAGAGAGCACCAGCAAAGTTTACTTGATACTTAAGGGGTCAATTCTGTGAAATAAGTAGGTCATAACAATCAGATGTGTGCGCGCATGCACAACCGTCTACAACACGCAACGACGAATAATGCAGGCACCCGGTGCAACGTGCATGTAGAGAGAATAGCACAGCGTGAAAAGCATACTTAATGAGTAATTAAAAGTAAGGCAGGAATACCAAATGACTTCCACGCCTGAGTAGTTGAAAACTTAAGGGAATGAAAGTGGAGGTGTAGCGAATCTAGCTCACAGGCGGATGATCAGAGATTGATTAAATCGAAAATGCTGGTAAAACTTTCAGAGAAAATTACAAAGAGATTGACACAACGGCAACAAAGTTGACGGACACACTAATAGAAAGAAGCCAAAGAAATCACACACCCGCACGCATGTACCTTTAGTTCCTCATTTTCCTTGCGAAGTTTCTCAATCTCCTGAGTAAGCTGACCAAGTGCGCTAGCTGGTGCGGTAGTAGTAGGCTGTTTTAACCGAAAAACAAGGCGGCATAGGTATTTGAAAGAAACACGTCCAAAGTCAAATTAAGCTTGAAACGAACCTGTTCTTGATTAGGGAAGGTACATATGAAGAACTTTTCTGAAACCCGAGCTTTGTCTACCAGCTGCCACTAGACATTAGGAGAGAGAGTATAAAAGGGGGAGTGAATACGAAGCTTACAAATTGGTTGAGGGAAGGAGGCATCTCATCAGAAGCTACTGCGGACAACAAAGCTAATCGGTCCCGCGATTCACCATTTGATTCAACACCAGCAACAGTCGAGACTTTGATAATTCTCACTTCACGGGCCTTGATAACATCCTCATTGGGAGTAACAACGTATCGTTTGGGAGCGTTTGTCTTGACTTTGAAAACCACATCCCTTGGAGACGTGTTGCGCACGGTTAAGGTGCAAGTAGAAGATTCACTAACAGGACCTAGACCTCGTTATTAAAGCAGAAATCCGAAGTTACCTTCAAACACAAGCTCTTCGGGTTCACATTTCAAGAGATCATCGGGCATTCTAAGAGTGCATTTAAGGCGGGTATCGCTAATCTGAGATTGACTAGCTTCTCTCCACTATAAGTACACACTAAATAAGTTAAGGAAAATTACGATTTGCTCCAAATTGCCCGCAGGATCATGATCAAGAATCATAGATTGGATCATAAACTTATGCTTGTTTTTCTCAGCTCCATCACAATCGAAAGGTTGCAGCATAACTTCAAGAGATAATTCATTAGTAAAATCCTTACCAGCTACATTAACAGTCTCTGAAGGTTCAACGATGCCGCAGCTGGGACGCACGCAGTAGCGTTTTGGAACCGTGGTCTTTACTTTAAATGTAATCCTATCATCAGAAGGATTTGTTAACTTAATGACAGAAGATTGGACATTCACAAAGGGACCTATGAGAATTTGTAAAAAGAGTATAAAGAGAATACCGAAAAAATCAAGCTCATTGCTTGGCTCGATCTTCAGCAAAGACTTGTGGGAACCGGCCATAGCAAACTGAGTACCTTATCAACGCTAATGAAAGCATATGCCGCGGCGCTTGCTGATTGGTCGATGGGGAATTTGCGCCAAATTTCGAAATTAGGTCTACATATTGTCAATGTGAGAATGTGTTATTTTATGAAAAGATCGCTTTAAAATATCAAAAAGCAAATACAAATTTTAAAAAACCACATTTTTCCTAATAATGGTAGGCCATTACCGGAGCAGATACGGCAAACACACCAGATAAATTTTCGGTATTAATGACTGCTAAAGAAAAAATTGTGAACAGTTTGATAAAAGTATGACTGTCCTGCTACTCAATTAAAGATCCAAAAACTTTAACTACTTGATTTTGGCGAAGTTTTAACTTAAAATCTTTTGGCTCTTCAGCAATATCTTTTAGATTTGAATTCAATGGTATGTGAGCCCTTGTACACGCACTTGCAGGGCTCACCACCACTAGAAAACCATATTAAACATTTTTCACTGACCTGAAGCATTGCAAATTCAGGCGTGAACTAGGGCGCGTCAGCCAAATTATTTTAATTCTATTAACTCTAGGGCGTATTTGACCACTTATCTATTCGCAACCCAGCATTTTATCCGGATACGCTGGCCTTTGGTCTAGGCCAGTAGCCCCACTCCAGTCAGAACTGTTATTTCCATTGACCTTTTTATGGAATTCTTGCGGCGCTACAGCAAAACATTCTGTATTTAGGAAAATTCCGGTTATTTATTAACCACAGATAGTTCGATTCCCAAATGCTACAAATTTATTTTTTCTTGTCTTGTAAGCTCATTCTCTTAGGATCTCATTACTTATACGTAAGTAGCCATGCGCTGTAGTAAACTATTGGATGCAATCATTCATTGCATCAGTTGCAGAATCATAACGATGGCACCTTAATTTCCGTTGATTTCCCGTAAATGTTTCCGGTTTCGGAATTAAGTGTTTACAAGCACTTCTAGACCATTATAAGCCTTTTGATCGCTTTGTCTACACTTATCTGACCAAGATGTTGAAGTTAGAGTGAACTTTTAATTAGGCTTAATTGTTTATAATTCTGTATTGAGTAATGTTTTGCAAACCCACTGTCCCTGTTCAAGGAAATAAGAGTTAAGGCCACCAATTAACAGGGTCTAAGAAGTGCGCTGTTGGGTATTTTGTATTTATTGTGACTTATGTTTTTTTGATATTAAATTGTATAAGTGCATTAAATCTGAAGTGCCGTTAGGCAACCTCGCAACCGTGCGTCAGAATAAACACTCCTTTGAAAGCCGGTATCTCTGAGGTCGCATTTAAAGGGGCATAAAGTATTGGTATCCTTGTTTTTTGCCTAGGTCTAGGTATCCCGTTTTAAACGCGGTTGTCAAGGCTTACCTGTGCCCCTTTTCTACAAATTCTCTGCCTTCATTGCGAGACAGTCTATTGCCCAAACTTGACGATCTCTTACGTCCATCTGACCAGGCTGGGACCCATCTCAGATTTATGTTCCGTTGAGCATTTGTTAACACTTTGTTGTGACTGTATGCAAGTATAGTAGCTTCTCAAGTCTTTCCTGCTATAATATCGAGGCGTATCAACTCTTAATGGTTTGTTATTAGCGCGTAGCAGGGCCGGAGCTACGTGCGCATGGCAACTCGGTCGTATGTTTGAGACAGAGTGCTGTATCGAAGGTCTGGGAGCTTGTGTGTACATATGATCTATTCAAATAGTGCTGTTCCATTAATCCGATGAGTGAACAGGAGGCGCTGCAGTTGATTCGCGTCAATGACTTATTGTTTTAATGTCATATTTTCTAAATAAATGCTAGTATTTAAGAAAGCAAGGAATAATCTTCATCAATCTGCCACTGTCTGCCAAGACAGTAGCCTCTCAGTTCATATTTATCGGATCCAAGTCCGAAAATTCCAGTGAAGAACACCACTTAGGGGTGGCAGACTTCTTTTAAGGAAATAAAATGAAGATTGTAATGCTACGCTTCTGGTCGGGGTGGGAGAGACGATGTGAATGCTTCTAATCAACTTTGTTTGACGCGGTAGCTATGGTATTAGCTCAGGCCCTACACAACTCTATCTTCATCATGCGTAACTAAAGCGCGTCTGTAGATGGCTGCTGTTTCTGCCCATAATTGATATTCCAGCCAATGTGTCCTTACCGGTTCTATCAGAAGGGTTGCAGGTAACAAGGTTCCACTTGAATTAAAGCCACCGAACATCCGCAGATGTCAATGCCAATGTGAAAAATCAACCAATGGCAACTGACGTATTTCATTACAGGGTGGGAAGTATGGTTGTCTTTAGGTAGCGTGATGACGTCTTTCAAAGGTAAACAGGAGGGAAATTGTTGACTTTCACACCACAGTCAAGCATTTCCAGTCCTAGTAACAAAGCAGAGCCAACCCTGGGAGGCCAATGATCTGATGTAGGGGAGAGGCATGACCACCTACAGTACTAAAAGGAAGCCCTTAATTCTATTGTCCAGCTCGCTTCCGTTCCTAAGAAACAGAAAGTGAAGCTGATTCGTCTAGACTATTAACCATCATTGGGAAGCTCTTTCGCTACTACCCTTTCTCGTTCAGTGAAAGAAGAATGCATCACCAGTCATTTCAGTCTGCCACCACTCACGCATCTTACTTCTTAAAGAATCAAAATGGCAGTTTATGGGAGAAAATCCCCCTCACTTATCGCCAAAGAATGTGCGCATAAGAGTGTAGTGCATCGGCTACACCAATTGTGAATTTTGTCCCCACGTGGATTCCTTCATTGCTTGAATGCAATATGAAAGGCCAACTTGCTTTCGATTGTGCTCCGAAGGAACTTTACAGCAACTCCAGAACTCCAGCCTTCGCAACGAAGTGATTGGCGTTGTAATAATTTGATCGTCTGCTTCATTATTTTGGTTACGCAGAAATTTAAGTCTCCGCTTTTGTACCTCCACTGGGCGATATGGTCTCCGGGCCATGCCAGTAGCCTCCTAACCCTACTGTAGCCCAAAAGTACAA